ATTTTATCAACCGAAGTTTGAATGTAGTTACTGAGAGAACGTTTCTTAAATAGTCTGCACACCGATTTAAATATCTTTTTATACATCTTACAATATTGAATAAATTGCTGGTTATTAGAATTTTTAGCCAACTTGCTTAGTTCTCTTTTCCTGGCACTAGATATTCTAATTCCTTGAGTGATCCACCCTTTTGCTTTTACGCTATTGTTAGAATTTTGTTTAATCCTTTTTACTGGAAAGCTCTGTTGGAAAATTAACTTGTAATTGCTTAAGAAATTGTCAAAATTTTGTTGAACATTGTTACTTGTATATACATTCAATGAGCATTCTTGAAGTGTTTCCACAAAGTTTTTAGTATTACTTTCATTAAATACCCTTTTTCTTAAAATATTGGTACATTTCTTAATTCTACTGTTTAATCTGAATTCATTTAATGTAAATAATGCTCTATGATCAGACAGTCCTAATTCTAGATTTAAAAACTTAGAGCTACTGTTCCTCCTATTACAAACAATGTTGTCAATACAAGTTTGAGATGTTGGTGTTATCCGGGCTCTTTTAGAGTAATACAAATAACCATAGGATATTAAAATATTTACAAAACAGCCTTTTTCAGCTTTGTTTTTACAGTTTTCCAATACATCTATGTTGAAGTCTCCAGTTATATATACAGAGCTAGTTTTTGTTTCTTTTTTTAGTAAAATCAATAATAATTCTAGCTTTTTTATAAATGTCTTAAAATTGTTTACATCAGGCACTCGATATATTGAGATAATAATTGTTTTTAAAATTGGTATCTCAACACAGCATCCTTCAAAAACATAGTCTTCAAAATATAAATTTAAATCTAATCTTGCTTTTACTGTTAAATTTGACTTTACTAGTATACAGGATCCTCCACGCTTACCTTTTTGTCTGCAATAAAAAGCAGCTAAACTAAATGTTTCCAAGCAATTTAAAACTGTTACCTGATCTAAATTCAACCAGTGTTCTACTAGAAAAACAATGTTTACATTTGTTTCTTGTAAGATTAAGCTTAACTCGTTTAGCTTGGATTTGAATATTTCCTCAAATCCAAGTATAAGAGGTAAGTCTGGCCTTTCAAGGTTTTCGGAGGTAAATTGGATGCACCCAGTATTTTCTGTTACGTTTTCATGCACGAAATCTGATCAGTGACGCACATATGCCAATGGTTTCTGTCATATACATTTTTTTAACACTCGAAAGACGACTAAACAGTCGTGGCGTGTGCGCACCCATAGCACAGACAAGGGAAACAAAGTTTTATTTCCTTAGTCAATGCCCATAGTCAACGTCAATGACCATCGACCAAACAGTCTTGACGACTTTTCGATTGTCCACTCCACCCAACTCCAGCCAGACCACGGCCACCTTTAACTACAGGCCGCGGCCTGGTAGAATTGGCAACGTCGCAAGTGGCGTTGTTTAGTGATTGACAGATGTCCTATAAGATAACATGGCAGACAGGTAAATCAGCTCATTAATTCGCACTTTATTCATAAAAATTAAAATTTATGAACATAAATTTATTAAAATATTGAAAATAAAACATATAGAATTGAAAACCGAAACAATATGAATAGAAATCTATATCTGTACATTTAAAGAGGAGTCAATATTGTCATAGTCCAGTAGCCAATCTTTCTTAAATACACAAATATAGCTGCTTTCCAGTAACGTAGCCAGGTTTTCAAAATAGGGGGGGTCGACCGACCGGGGAGTCCGGGTGAAGGGGGGGGGGGGGTCCGGGAAAATTTTGAAAAATATAGACCCTAAAACGGTCTTTTTTTAGCTCTCTTGGCATTGAAAATAATCAACCCCAACATCAATACAGTACGATTATATAATTCTACATTTAATTTAACAAAAAATATTATATTTAAGACCAGAAGGGGGGTGTCCGGACCCCCAGGACCTCCCCCCTGGCTACGTCACTGTGCTTTCAAACAAAACAGCTGTTACAACACCACTTGCGACGTTGCCACTTCGAAGGCCGCGCCCTGGAGTTAAAAGCGGCCGTGAGCCAGACAGTATATATTATCTTTGACTATTAGGTGGCCTTGGTTTTAATACAACACTTCTTTATCAATAATATAATATAATATCAATAATAATAATCACTTCTTGGAAGAACCATTCACCATGTCCGAGCTAACTGCAGTCATTACCAGCTTAAAGACTAATAGAGCTCCAGGTATTGACGAGATCAGAGTCGAACAACTAAAGAACCTATGTAAAAATGCCATGCAATGGTTGTTGAGCCTCATGAACATGTGCGTAAGCCAAATGCATGTACCAAAGGCATGGAGGAAAGCTCGTGTGACTGCACTGCTCAAACCTGGGAAAGATCCAAACGATCCTAAGAACTTTCGACCTGTTTCTCTCTTATGCCACACATATAACATATTAGAACGTCTGATACTCAATCGAATCGGCGATTTTCTGGATCAAAAGATCGTTCCACAACAGGCAGGCTTTCGATCAGGCAAGTCTTGTTGTGGCCAAGTTTTAAACCTGACACCCAGCACATTGAGGATGGGTTTGAGAGAAAACAGATCACGGGTGTCGCTGTTGTAGATTTAACAGCTGCCTACGATACCGTAAACCATCGAAGACTCTTGGGAAAAGTGTACAGTATTACCAAAGACTATCAGCTGACTTCAATAATAGGCACTTTTCTTTATAACAGGCGGTTTTCCGTGTCCCGTCAAGGCAAGAAAAGTAGATGGAGGAATCAAAGAAATGGATTGCCTCAGGGTAGCGTCTTAGCCCCAGCTGCTCTTTATAACATTTAAACACTAATGGCCAACCGTTGCCAAACGCTACACGTCAGTATATATATGCTGATGATACGGTGGTGGCGGCACAAGGTAGGAGTTTTGAAGAGGTGGAACAGAAGCTGACTATGACTCTAAATGAACTTTCCCAGTACTATGACGCAAATCACCTCAAGCCGAACCCTGCTAAGACCCAAGTTTGTGCCTTTCACCTAAACAATAGAGAAGCAGGCCGTGAGTTGAATGTGAGGTGGCGGGGAGACCGTCTTCAGCATTGTCCTACACCCAAATATCTTGGTGTCATACTGGACCGCACACTGACATTTAAGGCGCATTGTATTGCGCCAAGAGGTAAAGTCTCAGCGAGGAATAATATCATCAGGAAGCTCACCAGCAGATGCTGGGGTGCTAACTCCAATGTCCTCAGAACCTCAGCTTTAGCGCTCAGTGTGTCGGCTGCGGAGTACGCTAATGCACCAGTATGGCATGCATCGTCACATGCAAAAAAGGTTGACATTGCAGTCAATGACATGGCTCGGATTGTAACTGGGTGTTTGAAACCAATCATAGGGATCGCCCCTCCATCAATCCGACGTGATGTCACTGCCGACGCAGAAAGGACTAAGCAAGAGACAGACCCTCGTCACCCATTACACGGCCACCAACCTGCAGAGCGACGGCTTCGGTCCAGAAAGAGTTTTTTATAACGGACACGAGTCCTGGATGGATCACTCTCAAGCAATCGGGTGGCAAGGTGGGAGGCCACGTTGACTAACCCTCCCATACCAGCCAGGGAGGAAGTGGCTCCTGGTGGAGGCCTTCATTACACGGTGTGGACGACCCTAAATCGAATTAGGGTCGAGGTACCAAAATGCAAGACAAACATGCAGAAATGGGGTCTCTTACCAGACGAAGAAAACATCTTGTGCGCGTGTGGTGCTGTTCAGGATCCTGGCCATCTGCTGATCTGCCCACGCCTAGACCAGTCTTGCACATTAGATGATCTTTTACAAGCGAATGACAAAGCCATATCGATAGCTAATTTTTGGAAAAGCAAAGTCTGATTTCTGGACACGGAAAGTAATAATAATAATAATGATAATAATAAATAAGTAAGAACTTCAGTATCCAATAGTCAATGGTATTAAGGTTTTATCGACTGGATGCTATAATAGCACAGTATATAGTATCACGGCCGCCTTTTTAGTATATGCGCAAATTTCATCACGGCAAGGTTTTCATTGTCACAGCCATCTAGAAATGTTTTGGTTAAAGCTGTTTTTTATTACTGATGGTTGATTTGTTGATCATGATGACCGTGGCAGTGTTGCCACTTTTAGGGTAATTACCCTTTTTTAGGGTAATTTACCAGTCTTAGGGTAAAGTTTAGGGTAATGGTAGATTTAGGGTAATTTTAGGGTAAAACTAAAAGTTAGCATAACAATGGAAATTTTACTAAAAACATGAAAAAAACTTCAAAATTTGCCAAAAAACGTTCATTATATACTATGGCCAAGTCATCATATTCGATTCAACCGGTTTAAATCTATTGCTATGATGGATTTTTCATAATAAGTTATATCCTAATCGATCTTATCAATAGTTGTGAATTATCTGATTTAGAATGTATTCGATTCTATAACACGTTATAGGCCTAATAAAATATGAAATATTATTCATTACCTACTGGGTTTCATATTTAATTATGTGATTAAATTGAATTAAACTGGATTATTTTACAAATTGTGTCAAGAAATTACTACATTACAGTACTAGATTAAAGCTTTGGTGGTACCGCACTGTACTTTAAAGATATGTATGATTGTCCAAAAGACAGTAGTAATGGGTCGATACAGTAAAAAAATACTGTTCTTGATTCAATATTTTTCGTATATACGAGAAAGCTGCATATCAACATTTTATTCTTCTTTCGGGATGTTTTTTTAGAATCGAGTATAATTTTACATAAATTGATTGATGTTGGAACTTAATTTAGTATAATTAACCACCTTATGTAAGATTTATATGATTTTAACAATGTTTTATAGCATTAAACGCAAATATTAACATTTAGGGTAATTTTTAGGGTAACTCAAAGTAGATTTAGGGTAATTTAGGGTAATTTTAGCCCGTCTTTAGGGTAAAATCACAACAACGTGGTGGCAACACTGGACCGTGGTAACTTGACTTGACTAGTATGGAATGACAACAAAAGATTAAAGTGAGTGTAATGACTGAATTAGTTTTCTTGAAGAAAACTGTATTTGTTTGAAGTATTTCACATTAAAAAAATTATAGGATAGGAAATCCAGGAATATGAAGAGAAGAAATGCCGACATTGGCAAACTACGGAGGCCGATCAAGCGAACTAAAATCACTGACGGTTTCTATGGAAGGTAAGCATCCGCCATATGTGTTTGCTTGACGAATAAACCACAAATTTTATAATCCTTTCAAATATATCAAAGCCTTGAAATTCCTCCCAGTCAAACATTTCATATAACTAGCCAGAGTTACACATTTACTTTTTCTTGCTGATTACTTTTTATCACTTTACTCCGTCAATTCACAATTTCCTATCATATCGTTCATAATAAGTTAACTTCCAATGAACTGTTCCTTTTCCAACATATCAAGTGCATTAATTGTAGGCCTGTTGGCTTAAATAATTTTGGCGCGTTTTCTGACCTAAACCAAACTGTAAATCGGGTGATTTACCTAAGAAAAATAGTTTAAAACTGCCTAAATAAAGCTAGCCTAATAACTTGTATTTAGTCAATGCTTGCAACGTCAAACTAACTAAGGCCTAAGCCTAGTTGAAGGCTATAAAGTTTTAGGTAGAGACCTAGCCTAGGTCTTGTTTAGTGTAAAAACACAGTGGAGCAGGGCAGGTCGCATATTCGCTGGTCATCGCATAAATTTACCGACTGGTTACCTGGCGGGTAGCTGGACATAAGTTATCTTATATACAGTGGCGCTCAGTCAGTCACTTGTCAGCTGCCGTGTCGAGATGGGGAATATAGGTCTACATTATTGTTCCTTTACATTTGTTGTACAAAATCTTACACTGTAGGCCTACCGTACCGTAAACTTGGCACAACTTATGTTTCATTATTAGCCAAATCATTTGCACACTCAATTTAAATGTTTAATCTTAACCTAAAATGTTGTATCATGGTGTGTAACTAGCAATTATTAATTATCTAGGCCTACCTCTACATTGGTGGTCACTTTAACTTAACTATTTTGGCCTAGGGCCTAAGTTAACTATTAACTTTTACTAAAAGAAAATACTCCCTGTAGGTAACTTATCAGCATACCAGCATAGGTACTAAGTTAAAAACACCCCTGTGCATAAGACCGTTAAGTTGTCGGTCTGCTTTTGGTTGAATATTGATAGTTTTATTTTAAACATCATTAAAAATGTCAACCTCTATCATAACTCAATTTAATTTTTTAATTTAAAACATCAATTAAAATTTGTAAACAGATCATAATTTACCTAGGCCTAATTCAATGTTTGTTTAACTTACATTGGAAAAAAGTATTTTAGAAACTATATATAGGCTATATCAAACCTAATCTACATCGATAAGTTATTTAATAATATAATAACTTATATCGCTGGTTCTCTGCGGACATAATGTTACAAATTAACCATCACAAGTAAACTTCTCATCCCATTGTTAAAGTTAAAGCTTGTTTATCATGTTTGAAACAGTTAGGTAGTTCATATTGGTGACGCTCGGCGCGCTGGTATCCACAAAATGTTATTTAAATTATTATAGGGTTATTTAGTTTAATGATTTACGGTGCACATAACTGTTTGGTTGTATATCTAGGGAACGAGATCTTTAGACCTAGTTGGGTTTATATTGTTAAAACGACGAAAACCAAATTGCATCTCTGTAAGGGAACAAACTCCTTACAGAGATGCAATTTGGTTTTCGTCGTGGAAAATCTACGGCTGCCGCTGTAGCTGCAGTGGCAGAACGAGTCAGTGCTGCCTTTGAAGACCATCGCTCAACTGCACTTACTCTCTGCGATCTGAGCCGTGCCTTCGACACTGTGTCTCATGAGGTGCTCCTAAAGAAGCTCTACTTCTACGGGCTGGACGGAGTCGTCCTATCTACTCTTCGATCCTACCTTCTAGATCGTACACAGATGGTGACTTTGGCAGGTGCTTCCTCCTCTTGCAGAGCTGTGGAGCATGGAGTCCCTCAAGGATCCATTTTGGGACCGCTTTTATTCATAATTGTGATGAATGACCTGGATGATGATGGCGGTACCCTTCTTTTTGTGGACGACACCACCCTCCTGTCATCTGGTTCAAATCTTCAGGAAATAAATGAAGATATGGAGCTTCGACTGCAAAACGCTTCAGCCTGGTTTGTAGCAAACCGTTTCCAGCTGAACCCTGACAAGACCCAGAGGATGGTTTGCAGTCTGGCTCACATTCCTCCTGTAGACCAGAGCCAAGTTAAGCTCTTGGGAATTGTATTGAACAATAGGCTAGGTTGGGATCAGCACATCGACCAGACTATAAATAGACTCTCTCGTGTCTGCGCCCTCCTTCTAAAGCTGAGATCATTTGTGACTGAGGACTACCTTAAAATGGTCTACTTTGCTTTATTCCATTGCCACGTTACATATGGACTGCTTTTGTGTTGACATTCTCCAGGCACAGTGGAGATTCTCAAGATCCAGAAAAGGGCCTTAAGAATTATCACTTTTAGTGACAGACGGGCTCATAGTAGGCCCCTTTTTGTGAGACTAGGAATACCTAAACTGTCTTCGGTCATTACGTTCTCCTGTGCCTTCTTCATGTTTGGGATAAACATAGAGACCTTACGTCCCGTGCCATGGTCCATCCCTACAACACCAGGCAGAGAAACATGCTGGATGTTCCCCGCGTTAGGCTCTCCAAGACAGCCGCTTCATACCAATTTCAGGGGCTAAAGTTCTTAAACAAACTGCCAATGGCCATTAGGGGCTGGAAAAGGGGTCATCTCAAGGACAAGCTAATGTCGCTAATTAAAGAGAGAGCCTACTACAGCATCTTTGAGTTCATGGGTGATAAGGAAATAGCTAACATGCGGTAGCCATCTTTTCCATCATCCCTGGAAGTCATTTTTTTAACTTGTATATATATTGATTTTTATATCTAAACGGTTTTACACGTTGTGGACTTATTTTTCTTTTGTGAGTGTAAAAGAAATGTTTTATTTTTTTGTCGAGACGCAATCTATCCCTTTTTTGGGTAAAAGATGAAGAAGGAGTAAGTAAGTAAGTAAAAAAGGTTTTAGGCCTACATATCAATAAACAATTATCTCATTTAGGCATGTGGGGAAGGTAGGCCGGGGTTTATGAGGATTCGTGGCTACATTAAGTGTTTTGAAGTTACCTTAGATTAGAACGTGACAAGTGCCACTAATACAAGCTATTTAACTTAGTGCAAGCAGGTGAGATGCAACGAACTAACACCACAAGCTATAGGCCTACTTGGGCTTAAGTTAGGTTTTAAAAAGTGTTAATCTAAACTGACGTTTGAATCCTTAATGTTAGGATTAATTACGAATGTTAGTTTAGAACTGTTTCATTTCAATAATTTATTTTTAATTGTTCATGTTAATACTGAACACAATAATTTTATTTATTGTAGTTGTCAGCTGATAGCCTATGTTTTAATCTGTTAGGCCTAATATCGATAGCCTATAGGCCTAGGCCTATCTGATCAAAAAGTTAAATATCAATATAGGCTATCGAAATAAATTCATTGATAATTTTGAATGTTCCCTTCAACAAGAAAGTACCATTCATTTGCTATTTCATTCCACAAATCGTTGAGAACGCGGTTGTAGTGGTCCGGAGTGGCATGGTTCCACAAAGGGTCATGGTTTCAAAAACCTCTGTTATTAATTTCTCTAGGCCTACATCCATTTTTTTAATTCATGTAGGTACTGGTACACAAAACAACAACCAAACAAATCAACCAAAACAAACAATCCGCCATATAGGCTACAGAGAATGCGTAGGTAGTGAAAGATCTCGTGTGGAACATGCAAACTCAAGGACATATGTAAAGTGCTATTTGTGCATGCACCAGTTGAGCCCTCCCTGCTTGCAGCTAACAAACAATCGACTTTGCAATTCTTGCTGTGTAGCATACCACTACTACCACACCGGCTACCTGCTAGGCGCGAACTGTGTGCGTACCTGTAACAACTCATGCTTCAATTCTACATCGCAGTAGGGATAGGGACAGTTTCATTACTGGACTGTGGACTCCATGTTGCAACACCACTGTTTGAACAAATCTTTCAACAGGCCTATGTTGTTCTATGTGTAAGAAAGTTTACAATAAGGTAGTTAATAAGGTAAATAAGTAGGCCTATCCACAAAACATATTGATAAAAAAAATCTGTGACTGGCTCTTAACCCATTGGCGCCGACTTACGAGCGTTACTCCTATGGCCGCTGCAGGCCCGGCGGCCGACTTACGAGTGCCGCTCGTGTCACCGCTAGGCAGCGCCATTAGTTATTTAGTTATTATTATTTTTCGCCCTTTTTGTTTCTTCTTACTATTATAATGTTTATAAATATCTTGCTTCTTGATTTGCGTTTTTACTCATTTATTTTAGCGAATAACAAACAATTTTGTGTTGCCTTGGAAACCTCATATCACCAAAAATCAGCTGTGGTAAGGTAAACAAACAATTTAAAAAAAATGTTATTACTTATAAAAGTAGGCTACACAACTTTTGATTTTTCTACGTAGGGAATCGATTGAACTTTATAATAGTAGTGTTATTTGGTGTCTGGATTAATCTTGGAATTTGTATATCAAGTTTACTTTCAAAATATTGTTTTTAAAATTTTATTTTTATAATCTTTATATATAGGTACCTATATATATTTTTTTAGTTTAGAACTTTGACTATCCAATTACCACTTTTCTGTAGACAATTTTACTGTGAACAAAATGGTGAAAGAATAATTAATTTATTACCTAAGGTTTTCTTTCTATAGCAGTTAGAGTAAAAGTCTACAAATTCGGTAAAATTAATTGCCGCCAGAGGGTGCTGCAGGTAGCGCATTAATTCCTTTCCCAATGGGTTAAGAAATCCTTTTTACAGTATTAAAGAGTTCCTGAGAACCAGTGATAAGTCTGTAACTTGACATTTAAAATGGTTAATCACCTAGGCCCTAATCTATTTTGTTTTCGTCAATGTTTTGATTATTTGTTAATTGTATAAATAAGTTAGCCTAGTCTATTTTGATAGTTAGTCTTGTAGTTTAAATTAATTTGTGTTAATATTACAACAGACTCTTATCACCTCATACTTAAAAGTCTGTATATTTAGGACAATTTAAACTATTAAAGTTAAAAGTACCTATTGAAAATGAACTTTGAAAATGTAATGTTCCACTGTCAATGTCAATAGTCCTGTCCATGATGATATATTAATTGATTTGATTTGCCTATTTATTGTTTAAGTTAGGCAAGCTGTAAATGGGATTTGGTTTGAAAAAAATATGCTTTACGATTCATAGGCCTATAAGTTTAATAAGTTAAAAGCTAAAATTTGATGTTGCACCGGTAATAAACTTACTAGCGTCAGATTTACAAGAGTGCAATAGCCTATTAAATGGATATGCCTAAACTATTTTATAGCCTGATCATTTTGTATTTGACAGCGTGTTTATTTACAGTACATTGCTGTATTTGAAGTTCTTCATACTATGGGCTGTCGTCTTACTGGCTGATTTCATCCTGGAATTCCGCTTTGAATTTCTTTGGCCATTTTGGCTTCTCCTCAGAAGTGTCTACGATTCCTTTAAATATCAAGGCCTGGTAAGTTGATTGTATTTCAATATAAAGTCACTCATTGTAAACCCATGGAATATGTGTAGGCTACAAACCTCAAACTTCATTCAACTATGGGGTCAACTAGTGATGGTCGGATCTGGATATCGGACTACCGGATCTGCCAGATCCGAGCTAGAACCGGCACCCGATCGGATCCAAAAAATTCCGGATCTTGGGCTGGATCCGGTTTTGATGGATCCGATTTTTTTACTAACACAAAGCAGTCTGTATCTATGTACAAGACTATCTGTGACTGTGTACAAGAAGAAGACTATCTGTGTCTGTGAAGACTCCTATAAATAAGGCAACTTTAAATCAGCAGCAAGATTTATTATATCCAAACTACTTAGGCTAATGGTTTTTCTGGAAGTCTTTCAACTATTTCCTATGAGTAAATTTTTTTTTACTTTTACTACCTCTCTCACCAATACTAGAGTCTGAAGCTTTTACCCTTTCCCAAGCTAATAAGCTGTCAGCCACTGATCTAATTTTACTATCCTTCGATCTTGAGTACCTATGCTATATCATGGTTTTTGCGTGCAGCATCCAATTGATTTATGCCTAGATCACCCCTTACCTATCTCTTCTTTAAATTCGTTCCAGGTCCACAGTACTGATAGCCGGGTATGTGAAATTCTACAGGTAAAATATCCTGTGTACGTGTACAAGAAGATTATCTGTGTACATACAGGGTGAATAAAAAGTCAAGACTCCCCATCTAATATTTTTATAAGTTAGAACACAGTATAGTCTTCATGTACACAGACACAGGGTATTTTACCTGTAGAACTTCACATACCCAGCTATTAGTACTGTGGACCTGAAACGAATTTAAGGAAGAGATTAACAAGAGGGGATCCAGGCATAAATAAATTGGATGCTGCATGCAAAAACCACGATATAGCATACTCAAGATCGAACTATAGTAGAATATACACAAATACCCCTTTGGTGGTCGAGCAAACTTAGCACAAAGTGTCATTTTATAATTTTGAAAAGTTTTAGTGTCCCCAAAAAATGAGGGATTATGGGCTCAACTGGAGATTACTCTATAAGATATACTAGCGGCTTATATGACATAAGTCCCTAAAAAGCTCAAATGTAACAACTTATTCCAACTCCGGCATTTAAACACACTCAGAATAACATTATCTATGTGTCATGATGTATCCCTGGTACACCATATCTTTTGTGTAAAAAACAGTTTGTTGTCTGTCTTTGTTTGCTTTATTTAAAACTTCCCTGATTGGAATTTTAGAAATTGTCTTCGTCAAATAAATATGAAAAGGCTAATAGGTGTTTCGAGATAAGCTTATTTCTTGGTCAAAACCGCTAAATTATCCCAGTTATTATTTCTAAGTTTATACGCCTTTTGTTAAGGTTTAACAAAATTAGTGTAAAGTAAAGGCATCCCATTGACCAAACTTAACCCTAGATTTGTTTCTGATTAACATTAAAAACACTACTGTAAGTTTACGTGGAGGTATTCCTCCTAAAGGTGCGATTGACTTTACATATGCTATCAAAATAGGCCTAATCATCGGCTGATTCCTACTTATTTTGTGACTGGATGGTTCCATTGCCCAGTTAACGAAACCAATCACGAAATATCTTATTGCGACATCCATATTTTTGGCTAGTTTTAAGAAACGGAAACTACCTTTAGTTTTTACTATTATATATGGATGCCACCTTATATATGGATTTTACCTTTACCACCGTGCATGCTAGGCTATATTATTTGAACCTTTTTTGCTTTGAGTAACAGGCAGTATCTGGTTAAAATATCCTCCAAACAATATTGTTTTTCCACCCATTGGAACTTGTCATAGGCCCTAGTAGGCTACTTACTTAATGAAAAAATATTGCCTGTACGAACCTATTTAATCTTTATTCCGAGGTTGTTTTCTAAGAGTGGCCGTTGAGGTTATTCCACTTCATACAGCATTTTGATTAAACAATAAATCTCAAATTAAAAATGCAAGTAAATAGGCCTATACAAAAAAGTATGACGGCCCTGAAGGGACACTCAGTTTCTTTTTGTCTTTCATTTTGCTTCGACTTTTTTCTCGAAGTAATTCAACTTTTTTCTTGAAGTACTTTGACATTTCTATCTAGTCTAGTTTTACTTCAACTCAACTTCAATACGAGTACGTTCATTCTATTCTGTTTCTGATTCTTTCTCTGTCTGCTGTCTCACTGTCTCTTGTCTCTGTCGCACTCAGACCTAATAAAATCCTTGACAGAGTCAATATCAGAAAAGTGTTTTCTTCTATGAAGTCCGAGCTTCTTGGTATACCTTTTAATGGTGTCCGCTCACTTATGCAAATGTTATGCTTCAATAAAAGAATTGCAAGTATTTCAGGCTGTTGAAGGCCTAAACTAAAATATTGTTCAATCAGTTCATTAATGTCATATTCCATTATGTGTCCTAAAGCTCAAACCTCTTTCTATCTGCCAATTCTTATCAAAAATATGTCTACATTGGAAACACCCCTACATCAACAGTTAGTTGGGTTGTGGTTGCCGTAAAATTATAACAAACTATAATACTGTAAGCACATTCGAGAATAAAATCGAAGTACTTCGAGAATAAAATCGAAGTACTTCGAGAATAAAGTCGAAGTGCTTCGAGAATAATGTCGAAGTACTTCGAGAATAAAGTCGAAGTACTTCGAGAATAAAGTCGAAGTACTTCGAGAATAAAATCGAAGTACTTCGAGAATAAAGTCGAAGTACTTCGAGAATAATGTCGAAGTACTTCGAGAATAATGTCGAAGTACTTCGAGAATAAAGTCGAAGTACTTCGAGATTAAAGTCGAAGTGAATGAAAGACAAAATGAAACTGGAATGTCCCTTCAGGGCCGTCGTAAAAAGGTGTTGAATAAATCTTTAACATATGTTGTATCTATACAACAGGTTCAAGAATGAAAACCTCAATGTTGAGGACCTTGTTTTGCGTCCTTTAAGTTACAGACCAGCTGATCCTAATTCAAGACCATCAGTCAAAGAGTATTCACTTCCTTAAAACCTGTTCTTTAAACAATTAAACATTATGCTACTGATACTAACCTAGGTTCAACATTTTCGGCAACACTGGTCAATATTCTTCGTGCTTGGGTGACATTGGGCGGCCAGCGAGGCCTCTCATTGGTAGTTAGTACGGTCTGAGTTAGCCAGTTCTTTACTAGGACGGAATTTGCTAACCCGGATCTAGAGCGGGTTCCGGAGTTAGCCAATTCCGAAACCAAACAAGTTAGTGAGTTCTGCTCGTCGACCAATTTTGGAAATTACGGCATTTAACATGGGTATAGCGAGTTCCGGAGACAGCCAATTCCGCGTACCCAACTGTAGTAGTCAACTCTCTTGGCTCTACTAGATCAAAGTTTCCCAACCTTTTATTCAATGATGTACCACTTTGCAAAACAAGAATGATTTGCGTACCACAATTGATTTTTGGACACTGAATTAAAACATCCCACATATGGACCTGCTATAGCAATTTTTATGATTAAAAAGAACATTGTTGGATGAGCCATTCTCAGGCCATAAAATGCATGAACCATTTCAACTTTCTTGAGCCTATTATTTGTATACGGGTCAATATCTTTGACCCTTTTAACCACAGTTTCTACTAAATTAGAAAGATTTGTGTAGTCGGCAGGGATAGCACTTATCTTCTGTTTTCTTACCAGGCCTTTATCTTACCAGAGCACACGTCGCAGATCCACTTGGCAACATCTCCCAAGTCTTTAAATTTTTTGTAATTTTTAACATCCACATTTACACAGCTAATATGATGCCATTTGCCACAGAATCCATCACATTGCAGACCTTTATCACTTTCTTTCACTATTAATTTACCCTCAGGACAGATAGCCGAGCTTAGTTCCGGTCTGGCCGACAATAAACAATGTTAATAATATTGTATTTTGTTTAATTTAATCAAGTTTGGACGTAAAAGCTTTTAAAATCTGCGATCGATAAATAGATTCTTAGCTACGCTAGGATACCAAATGAGCCACCAAATCACCAAACTGTAGACGATTCAACTTCCTCTTAGTCTACACTTGCAGTACCTAAAGCAAAATAAAATAATAGTAATTAAAGTTATCTTTTTTCAGGCATTCTCAGTGTTTTTCGTGTGTATTGCTGTTACCTCCGACATGATCTGTTTTTTCTTCATACCAGTTCAGTGGCTGTTTTTTGCAGCAAGCACTTATGTCTGGGTACAGTACGTTTGGCACACAGGTAAGAACGTTGTTTTATAGTTTCCTTCTACCAGCTGCTTTAGTGTAAATTAGATATAAAAATACAAACTGAAAGAGCATTGAAAATATTGATCCAAATTGTGTGTATCATTTAAAAGTTCCAGTCAATCAGCGCAGTATCAAAATATGAGGATCTACAAGCCTTACAAAATTACAACACCCTATTTTTATTTCGACTATTATAGGCTAATTAAGTTAATACTGAGCATATTGTTTTGTCTTTGTAGTAGGTCAGAAAGGATAGTAGAAGAATGTCCTCACAGCATTTACCAGTGCACCAAATAGGTTGTAAAAGAATTTGGTCAAAACTGTCAACAGTAATACAATTTAATACCATGAAAAAACTTTTGATAGCTATACGGTTAACAGGTTAACATTTGGTACAGATTGAATCTTGAGTTGAACAAGGAACTAAATAGGCTAATATGTTATGTATCTAAGATCTAATAGCCTTTTTTGGATTGATAAAACTTAACATGACAACTATTTCCCCAGAGGCCATAATGTAGAGGAAAAATGTAAAATAAGCTATTCTAAAATACGAATCAGGTACAATGTTCATCAAGGACTTGAGCAGGAAAATTACTCTAGACAATTTTACACAAGCAGATTCAATGTGAGACTCCCAAGATAGGGTACTGTCAACTATGATACCAAGGATTTTAATGTTATTTTGGGTGTTGTGATGACTAGTTTTAAGTGTAAAGAGGAGATTCTGAGTCTTGCCAATGTTCTAGAGAAGGCTGTTTGAGCTAAACCACATTTTAGCTCTGTCTAGAGTACGTGTTCTACCTTTGATCTTAACAGGTCAGAATCTGGGGAATACTTAAAAAAGTTGTATTGTCGGCAAATATAACAGTAAACAAATCAATCACATTAAAAGCTAAGTCATCTATTTTATTAAAAGAATTTGTTGGATTTTTGTATGCAGCAAATCGACCCCTAAATACTTATTTTTATAGACACATTGGGTATAGATTTAAAGGTCTTATCCTCTAGATGTGCCTTTTGCGGGTTTGAATGATATCCCGCGGAAGCCCTTCGTCCTATAGGCTTTTCAAGTTTTGTTTACATCATAACAGATGGCTATCAAACAATTTTGTTTACATCCATACAAAAATGGGGTTATCTGTAGCATAGACAAAAAGAATTAAATATAGACTGTCAGCCGTGCTGCGGTTACCATGGTTACCATAGGTTTTGGCACACACCGCTGGGAGCGTCGTGTAGTTATGACAGTGGCGTAACTAGAACATGGCGTTTGGGGGAGATGGTGGAGCCCCAACAACAGGAGCCCTGGGGGAATGGAATGTTGAAAAATTAGAACTCTAAACTCTCGTTTTCAGGCATTCCAGAGGTGTTATCACACTTTCAAAAGAACTCCAAAAATCAATCCAATTGAGGCTGTCTCTGGCCGGTCAGAATCAGGAAATAGCAAGTACCTAACTAAATCATAATTACAACACAACAAACAAACAAATTATCATTAAGTTGTTGTACTGTAGCCTTCTGAGCTGCGCGTGAAGAGCCATAACTACTGAGTTTTTATTGTAAATTGATTTTAACAGGGTAAAAAATTACAGGGCATGAGCGGTAGTGTTGCCAACCTAATATGATGATTTTCCACGTATTCGTCACTGGAAATCCCCAATTTTATTCGCAAAGATTATGAAATCACTCGCTACAAAATTTTGAGATTGATCCTTTGTGAACAGTGTTCATTATTAAACCATTATGAAGGAGGTTATTCAGCCTTTTTTTATTTGTCTTGGGGGGAGGGTTCTATCCCCCTCATCCGCCCCCGTAGTTACGCCGCTGAGATACGTAGCGCGTTCGCCGTAACTACATGGCGCTCCCAGTGGTGTGCGCCAGAACCTATGGTAACCACAGCACAGAATATAAATACACAGAATATAATTTTTTAAAGCTCAACAAAATTGTATAGAAAGACATTTTAAAATTTAATATTTTGGAGGTTAAAAATGGGATAACCCAATTTTTATCCCATTAAACCTCAATTCCTAAGACCGATCATACTGGTTTAGTGAACTTGTTCAAACTTATATACCAAATTTCATGTGAATCGGATAAGTTTTACTTGAGCTGAAATGTTTAATTCTCCAGATGAAATGTTTCTGGATACTCATTTATATTATGTGTGTTGCTAGCCTAGTAATTAGTGTCTCGGACTTTGGTTGCCAGAGGGAGGGGTCAATTTCCGGCATATCCACAACACATATGGGTTTGGACTGCTTTCCCTTAAAAGTGTTCAATCCAACAATAACTTTAATATAAAATGTCACTGGTGTAGAAAAAAAACAGGGTACTGGATGAGTGTTGAATGAATGAGATGATATCTTTGTTGCGGACTAAAATCTGCTGGTATTTTAGCCAGGATCGTTATTTATTAATGGCCCAACAATAAAGTAAGTAACAACTGGGCCCAGTTTTGAAGTATTAACAGGATCAAACTGCTAATTATCTGAATACAATGTTTGGGTTTTCTTTACAGAGAAGGGAGTGTGTGTTCCCACAGTGGTGCTGTGGCTACTGTTTGTCTACATGGAGGCAGCAGTCAGACTACGAGACTTGCGTCATCTTCCGTTCCACCTGGACCTGTGTCGCCCATTCGCTGCCCACTGGTATGTCACAATAAGAAAGACAATTACCTCAAGACATATCTCTATGCAACTCTAGCTTCCCATGGTTAAAATGCTGTCAAGTTAAACGTTCTGATTTTTTGTTTGAAAGTGTTGAGTTCATTTTTTTCTTGTGCCGGATTATACTCCTTCCCATGCTCATAAGCTTAGTATCTTCTTAGCAAAAATCCTTAAATATAGGCCCATGTGCTTCATGTTACAGCCTTAACCTTTAAACTGGATAGGCTACTAAGGCCCAGTACATACGGTGTGACTGTTACAACTACCGTTGCAATCCAGTGTCGCGTGCAACTGTACTGTGACATCGGCCATGTATTGGAGTGGAGAGGCGCAAACGACTCGACCGGTTTTTGACGATCTCAAACCAGTCTAAAACCACTCACATGCAACTGTGGGCCAGTGGTTGCAGTTGCGTTGCAGACTTAAGTTGCATGAGACCACGTGGTGTTTTGGTGGTATTTTTACGGCCTTATTGTTTGTATCTGACTTTGACAGCTTTCTAGCAGCTAAAAATAGCCTAGAATTCACATTATTGCTCAAATAAGGGTAATCCTAATGCTCTCTTTGTACCCTTCACCGTCTTTGGTATTGATAATAGTTAACAATTTCTTCTTCGTGTAAGTCTGACATAGTAAATGTGCACGGCTAAGCCAAAGCCCTAAAAACAACACATACTGCAATAAATTAACTGTGCACACTGACGCTGTCCTCGTTCAAGTACCGGCAATGTTGCATACCGCGTGGCCTATCAAACTAAAAGTATTTATTTATTTCTTGTGCGTGTCGTGTGTTAAATGTGTTTGTCGTGTAATGAGAATGAAACTATTCAAGCGGTATTAATGTATATTCCTGTAATGAAGTGTTTGTCAATGGCAGCTTGTCCAAACATGTAACACCTTGTGGAAAGGTTATTTTTTGGAATTGATAAAAGGTAATGTAAAACAAAATATTACTAAATTAACACTTTAAACTACTCCACTGATTGCACAATAGACGCAACTGATATACAACAAGCCCTTGGCCAGTACACCCGTGTGCAGGCAGAAGTTTTATTTCTATTACAACCGGTTTCAGACACATCTGGTTCACAATGATAGTTAAGTTGTAAACCAGTCACACTGTCTGCGCTGGGCCTAAGTTTATGCCTAAGCCTAAGTAAATGGTGTAACATATAGCCCAAGAGACTAGGTTTTTATTTTATTTTTAGTGAGGATAACAGGCTTACCTAAATGGGAAAGAGTTCAAACCAACACAAGAAATACAGTTCTTAACAGAAACATGAGAATATTTTACTGTCACTTAGGGAATTTTCAATTAAGGAAGGTGAGTTGAAGAGAGCTCTGCTGGATACTAAGTTAAATGCTGTATGTAGCTTTTGGTTAGAGCTACCTAGAGGTATCAACATGTATCAACATAGGGAGCTATGTTGGTAGAGCACATCTTGGAAGCCTTGGATGAATCACAGAGGGTATCTGGTATTTTATGTGATCTATCCAAGGCTTTTGATAAAATCAAATTATCTTTATTCACTTTATACATTTTACATACATGAATAGTGTCAACGCATACTAAATTGGTTATGCAACTTAATCTAAAAGACTTAACCATACAATTTGACAATAGAACCTCGACCCTTTTAGAACCCTTTTAGAAACTCGTCTATGCTATAAGGAGCCAGATTAATTAAGAATGATATCAATTTCTTTAAAAAATTGGGTTTGTTTTGATCTTTTTTTAGTAAGGCAGGCAAACTTCTTATGAATAAATTGCCGATATACGAAGGCTTCATTTTTGAAAGTTTCAGCCGATGATGACTTTTTACAGTAAGATTTTTCCACCTTTTATTGTATTTATGGGATACTTCAGTGTTTTTATCTTTATAAACATGCTGAATAGTTTTAAAAATATATAAACCATACACTGTAAAAATTTTCATTTCTTTAAAGTACTTTTTCACCGACTTCAATAACTTAAAAATTAAATTTATTAAATAAATTTTTCAATAACTCTAATGGCCTGTTTTTGTAGTTTTACACATCATGTGTGACTTGGTCAAAAGTTGCGTTAGGTCTTGCAGTTGTTGATACAGAAAGGAAAGTTTGTTCTTGAACGTATCTGTTAATTTCTTTACCATGGCTGTCAGCGAGTATAAATCTTTATTTCTCCACAAGTAATACAATAAAATTACATAGATCTATAAAAACAAATTATTTTACAATGTAATCAAAACAGAATCTAAGAGTACCGGTACAGAGTATTAAGAATCTATTTTTCATGTGTCTGTACAGAGAATCGATACATTTTGGTATCGACATATCACTATTTTTAGGAAGTTATAAATAAATTGCAGGTTTAAGGATTAATCTTTAAATTTTTCCTTAACTGAGAATGCTTTTTCCAATAACTAAAATAGCGAGCTGTGTTAGCGCTGAAACAGCATTGCGGGAGTTGAAAACACTTTGGAAATTTTAGTATGAAAAGTACGACCTGAACTACCTGAAATTTTTTTTTACTCATGAATTAGCCTACTCATGAATTTTTTCTGGTTGGCCTGGTGGACACCCTGTTTATTATTTATCATGCATGTTAAGATTTTGATGTTAGAATATTAATGCTACAATGTAACTGGGTTTATCCTGTTTTGCAGCATTGTAATAAAACAAATAAGTAATAAAAACAATAGATACAATTTTAAAGCGTTAAATCGAAAGTGTTTATTTATTTTTATCAAAAACCATGCATGAAATCATAGGACATAGACAATAAGTAGTTTTGATATTTGAAGTTTTATTAAGGGTATAGAGCATAGTGTAGTCTCATTGGCAAAGTTTTATATTAGTCCAGTAGTTATGCTTTTCAAAATGGTATATTTTAAAATTCAACCTGTCATTTTTCAGTATTGGCTACCCAGTCGTTACTCTAGGGTTTGGTTTCAAGAGCTATGTTGGCTACAGAATGAGACAGGTATGTTAAAGAAACATTTATATCGAGAAACGTAATTGTAGATTTATTTTGGTCAACATTAATTAATTAGAGACTCATATGAAAGACAAATACCTAACTCTTCTTGGTGTACACTGGAAATGGCTTAAGGATATATACGAAGTAACATACAGTTCTATCCATATCAAGTGATCCAGAAATAAAATAATTGGTTGCTTGACCATTTTTTTAATAAATAATATTTTTATCCTAGATACCTATATCAATTCTGGGTTCAAAAGTGGTTTTACATTTTTTTTATCTCTTTTGTTACTTCTACGGTGGCCATTTTTGTTTTGCGGAACACACAAATTTTTGCTCATGTAAGGGTTTGCGTTAACTTGCATAACTCGGAAACTAGAGTTGGACGAAATTGGATTTTTAGTTCGAGACGAGACGAGATTTTTTATCTCTCATAAAATTTCGAGACAAGATCGAGACGGGATTTCCCTTCTCAAAATTTTTACCTGATTTTGTAACATTGTTAGATGACTGTTTAAATACAAAAATAATGATAATAGGCAAGAATATTTACAATCTTTTATTAAAAAACATCAGCATAACATTTTTTTATTAATCATGCCTAACTTATTAAAAATGCCTACGATTAGGAAACATAGTGATATCAGTTAGGATAGAGTTCAACTTATCCTAAAATAAAATAAATCATAAAATAAAAGCAGTATTAATTTTTATAAAATAGTTAACTTGTTTTGACTTTTTATAGAAATAAAACATTCCTCACACTGCTTACACTTAATAAAACTTCTCAAATGTTATTAAAGTAATATTATTAAAATAATAAAAGTAATATTTACATTTAAAGAATTAATTAAATAAGAATGCCTTCGCAAAGGAAACGCAACCACAACACGCTCCTGTATTGCGGGTATTGCATTGACTTTCTGCAGGCGTTTTTAATTTTTTTTTCTTTTTTTTTATTCTCGTCTCGATAAAAATCTCGGCCAAAAAGAAATCTCGTCTCGTGTAAAGAGATTTAAAATTTCCCGAAAATTTCCCGAAATTTCGAGACTTGACCATCCCTATCGGTAACCATGAACACTAGAGTGATGAAACAATACCCCCGCTGCAGCAAACCTGCCGACTTAGCGAATTTCCATTTGCCTTCCAGGCAAATTTTCAATTATTGATTTTCCAGATTGATTTTCAATTATTCTATTAAATTAACATTTATGTTTAACGAGTACCTAGGTTAGCTGCCACAGGGAAACTAATAAAGTGTGTTTTTTTATGTAAATATAAATAGCTTAGTATGAAATAAATAAATCCGCCAAGTTTGATCGAAATATATCCATAAACAAGCCAACAACAACATATTATAATATTCTCCATAAGAATAACATGGGAATTTTAAGTTAAACATTTTTTGAATTTTCACCGTAACCAATCACCGTACAAAAACACTTTGATATGCTAAATTATTTGTTTTTTTATAGTGATGGTCGGATCTGGATATCGGACTACCGGATCCGCCGGATCCAAGCTAGAACCGGCACCGGATCGGATCCTAAAAATTCCGTATCTTGGGCTGGATCCGGTTTTGATGGATCCGATTTTTTCAAATTTTTTCCTAATTTTTTTTCCTAACACAAAGCTGTCTGTATCCATGTAAGAGACAGATTTTTTTACTAACACAAAGGAGTCTGTATCACTGTACAACCCCGATTTTTTTCCTAACACAAAGGAGTATGTATCCATGTAAGAGACCGATTTCCCCCCTATTTGTTTACTAACACAAAGCTGTCTGTATCACTGTACAACCCCGATTCGTTTACTAACACAAAGGAGTCTGTATCCATGTAAGAGACCGATTTCCCCCCTATTTGTTTACTAACACAAAGCTGTCTGTTTCACTGTACAACCCCGATTCGTTTACTAACACAAAGGAGTCTGTATCACTGTACAACCCCGATTTTTTTCCTAACACAAAGGAGTATGTATCCATGTAAGAGACCGATTTCCCCCCTATTTGTTTACTAACACAAAGCTGTCTGTATCACTGTACAACCCGATTCGTTTACTAACACAAAGGAGTCTGTATCACTGTACAACCCCGATTTTTTTACCAACACAAAGAGTCTGTATCACTGTACAACCCCGATTTGTTTACTAACACAAAGCTGTCTGTATCACTGTACAACCCCGATTTGTTTACTAACACAAAGCTGTCTGAATCCATGTACAAGACCGTTTTTTCCCTGAGTGTTTGTCTGTTGATGCAAATAAGTTATATGGCAAGGCGATGTCTCAGTGTTTGTCTCTTGGTGCAAATAACTTATATGGCAAGGCCATGAATCGGTTGACAATATTAAATGAAGAGTTGAATTTTTTAAATCTATAAGTATAAAAGAGGATGTTTGTATATATATTTGTTTGTTTGGCAGTGATAAACTCAGACACTGCTGAACCGATTGCCACGAAACTTGGTACATACGTGTAGAATGTCATGGAATAGGTTTATACACCATCAATTTCGTGATCCGTCCAATCGGCTCCGCCCCAGTGGCTCTGGAGTTTCCCATGTTAACCTTATGTGAAATGGAATTAATAAATCTTAACAGCGGTTTAAATTAAACAAGTTGGTTCTGTTCTATGATGTTCAATAGCATTAAAGTTACAAGGATTACCAACAGGGTAGGCAGCACTATTATTTCTTTTACATTTATGACAACAGCTAATTTGCAACCTAAAGGTGAGTGAGCGTAGCGAACGAGCTCCAACCTAATGGTGAGTGAGCGTAGCGAACGAACTTCAACCAGGACGTGATTGAGCCATGCGAACGAGATCATCTTGAAAATTAAGAAGTTAAACGGGACAAAGCCCGCGGGATTATAAATAGTCAAAGGCAAGACAACGTCTGCCGGGTTCAGCTAGTGATTAAAATAAAAATATAACCTATTAACTTAATACTGAAGGTATCGGTACCGACATTTCACCATCGATTCTTGGTCCCGGTACATTTCCCAAGAACCGGTGGAACTGACATTTGACGTTAAGTACCTACCCATCACTAAACCCTACCTAATGATTTATGACAGACTGGTTAAATGCAAAACTAATAATAATAGGCAAGAATATTTCAAATATTTAATTATAAAACATCAATAAAAAATATAAATTTGAAATAAAAACTTTACCAATATTTTAAGAATTTGTAACTATTTAATTATTTTTTTATTTTTTATTATTATTTAATTTTTAAATCAGGGTTGCCACCAGCCATGAAAACCTTGAAAAGCTTGAATTATGCATGAATTCTTGTGACCATGAAAAAAGGCATGGATTATGCATGGATTTCTCCAATGGACCATGAATTTTCAAAATCAGGAACAATTATTCAACCAGTACCATTAAATTTCCCAAGTCCCATGATCAAAAACCATTGCTTAGTTCATTCCAAGTCATCCAAAGATGCTGATGTCAGCTGAGACTTCCTGAGGACTGTATATGGTTCTAACAATCATTAGTAGGCCTACCCCCCCTGCGTATGAAAAAGGGGTATGGGGACTTAAGTCACAAAAACAGAAGTTTTAGACCATGCACTGAATTGATATGGGATGCGCAATAAAACCAAATTTCCGACTCTGACGCCTGATTTATTTTAGCTTTTTGGATACCATCATATCTTAGTATGTTGTGGAATAAGATAAACCATAGAATGTACATTTTATGACAATTATGTAGGGGGATGAAACAGAACTTTTTTAGCCGGGGGAGTGGGATTTTTGTTTTATTCCGGTGGAAAGACTGAATTATACCTAGACTTGATATATTTTACAATTCTTCTCCAATATCTCATGTATTTATAATACATGCTGGACCTGTTTTGTTTTCAACTTGGTATTGAATGTTTATAAATCACTCCAAAAAAAGTTGTATATTAGGTATGAAAGGTTATTCAAAAGTAACACACAAAGAAACTGCCTCTTTAACGTCAGTTTATGAAATCAGCAAAACTCTCAATTGTGTTGAAATTGTATAAGCGCACCGACCATGAATTTTTTTTTAAACTACCAATGAAAACCATGAATTCTGCATGAATTTTATCGTCCCACTATGGTGGCAACCCTGTAAATGTTTTGTGATGTGTCTGATGATGCCAGCACAGCTGGCGAAAGGCCTCATAAAATTAAAAAATTTTAAAATATTGGTGAAGTTTTTATTTCAAATTTATATTCATTCCGATATCACCAGTTCTTCTTGAAGATCAATAAAAAAATTGAAAAAAAATGAAAACCACTATGCAAAACAGCAGATTAGGGCCATTTTTGAACACTTTAATAATCAAAATCGTTTTAAAAATGAGGGAGGAGTTCTGTTCACAAAAATCGGCTTAGCGTATTATATAAATATAAGATTGAAAATCCAATCAGGTAAATGGAAATTCACTTAGTCTGCAGGTTTGCTGTGGTGGGGGTATTATCAAGGCATTTTCTCTATTATATTAGAAAGACTCTAAACCTTCATATTTCACAGATCATTTTTACATCCAAAAGTTATTGCAGAGTCCCAGATTTGTAAATAAAGGAACTGTTAAACACCTTGTATGATTACTTGGGATTAATTTGTACATAGGCTGTAGTTTATATATGGTAGGCCTACACAGCAATCAAGGAAGAGGATTGAGTAGTTAGTTTGTATTGATACCATTGATAAATCTTTTATACTTTGTTGACAGCGAAAACAGAGAGACGTGGCCAAGGAGAACGAGTTTTACATGCAACTTTTACAGCAAGCACTGCCTATTGAGCAGCAGCAGACTGTATGCCACAACACAAGCCCTGAGAAGAGCAAAGGTGAGCTGCAATAAATTTATTTGATAATACAGTAATATCATTATTTTCATTTTCATTCATTTCCTAACAGAATAAAGAGATTATTGCAATGTTATAAATGTTTGTCTTCTCTCTCTATTTAGTATTTTGAATTTCAGATATATTTCTTCTATGTAAATTTCTGGGGTAATTTTATCATATGTTCTTCAACATATCCTCAGACCAAACCTAAAAATATCCTTTTACCAATTTTGTATTTTCTGGCTAACAAAAAGTCACAAAGAACATCAACATTATTCACAATTTTTGTTTTGAAAATTTTTATTGAAACAAGCATAATATAACCCATGACAATAATTAAATGTTGTATTCAAGTACTTCCAAGAACTGTTGATCAATGAACATCTTCCGCGGCCATGTAGACATCATCATTGTTTTACGTGATGGCGGCAAGATCATGAAAATTTCCCCCAGCCATGTAGACATTATCATCATCTTCCACGACTGCGGCAATATCATGAACATCACTCATGGTTGTGTAGACGTCATCATCATCCCCAACATCGTGGCAAAATCATGAAAATCTCCTGCGGCCGTGTAGACATCATCATCGTCTCCCGGTATCGCAGTACTGTCATCGTCGTAATCCGCTATTGCTATCGCGGCAAAATCATCTCCCGCGACCGTATAAACATCATCATGAATTCCTGCAGTCACGGAAACGTCTTCATCGTCATCTGCAATTGCGGCAAAATCAAGAACATCTCTTGCAACCATGTAGACGTCATCATCGTCTCCCGGGATCGCGGTAACGTTATCGTCGTCATCCGCGATCGCGGCAAAATCATCTCCCGCGGTCACGGAAATGTCATAGTCGTCTTGCGTGATTGCGGCAATATCGCTAATTTTCCAGCATTATCGGTACCAACATTTCACCATCAGGTCTCGGTTCTTGTTCATTTGCCAAGAACCGTGGTACCGACCCATCACTAAAAAAAAACTCAAACAATATAATTCTAGTGCAAAATTCAGTACTCTGTAGTCATAGTCAAATTTATTTATTTATGTTATGTATTCATGCATAATAAATAGTGTCACAAAATAAGGTAAAATAATGATAATCTTATGGTAAATTACATCAAAGCTATTTAAAGATTAATTGAAATAATACGTTAATAAACTTACTAGGTTTAACCATTGACTATTGGATACAGAAGATACAGATGTAGGTGGCTCATATCAACTAAGACAAATTTTAATAAAAACCTGGCTACAACTTCAACATGGGGATGGAATGTCAAGTTGTTGTATTAATAGTCAAAGGTTTAACTTACTGGAAAATACAATACTTAAGAATTTTTACATGATAAGTTTAATTACATGAAGTATGCAGTATGCACATTTACATATATGTATAGCTCTGAGCATCTCAAAGAATCAACTAGAATAAAACAATTCTTCCTTTTAATAAAACCTTTTTTTTAAACAATTTAATTTTTAACCAAATGCTTAATGTTTTTGTTATTAAAACTTTCAGGTGAATGATTCAAACATTTAGAGCCAAAATGAGTAGCTTTTTTATTTAAAAAAACTAAGCCTATGCTGGGTTAAGTTTAAATTGTTCTTATGTCTAGTATTATGAGAATGAACACTACTGCGCAGATCTAATTCATTATATTTATATCTTAACACCCATTATACCTTCAAGGATATATTGGTCATAAACTGTCAAATATTAATCTGTTGAATTTCTGTAGAAAGGAGACCCAATGTAATCCTCAGGTTACAACTAATGTTCTGTTACTTTATGTGAACGTTTAAAATTTTTTTAAGTCACGGCCCACCATGTTTCTTTCAATTTTTTATTCACAAAGAAGTACCTTATCTATATTATTAAAATATTTTTGGATTTTTGTGTGCAGCAAATCGCTCCTAAATATTAATTTTTATAGGCATATTGGATATCAATTTAAATCTATTTTCCTCGAGATGTGTTTTTGATATCCCGTGAAAGCCCTTTGTCCTTGGCCTTTAAAATGTCATAGTTTGTGCTGAATCCTGTCGTCAATCATCTGAACTTTTTCAAGTTTACATTTGTTTACATCAAAAAGATGGCCATGACAATTTTGTTTACATCCATACAAAAATTGGGTTATCTGTGTAGTTAATGTTTCAGTGAATTCAAGTAAAATATTGTAATTTTATTTGTGAAAAATGTAAAGAAGAAAATCACTTGCATTAGATTTTATGTTTCTTTGGCATTTGTAATTTTTCTAAGTTGCCTCGAAGGGATCACATAAGCAATGAAAATAATAGGGATATGAGACATAATCGTTTTCATCCTTATCAACTATATACTGTATCAAATATACCACAGATTTTGAAGTCACGAAGTGACGCAGGCTGCTAGTCATTAATTAATTATTAATATAGATATAAAATTACAATATCAGTTAAGTTATAAAAACAAGTAACAAGAATATATCTGACAAATGCTACACTTACATTCTTGTGAATCCCAGAGCATCAATAAGTACCAATCTCTATGCACGGCATTGTGTAAATATATAAAATAAGAATCTAACCCCAAGGTTTAGGAGGACATCTCAGAACTCAAGTGTTAACTGAGCAAACCTTTTCAGGAAATACTGCAAATGATGTTGTGACGTCCAATGGTACCGTTCACAACAACTCTGCACAAGTGAAGAACAATCACAGAAAGTCACTGGACAAAGGGGAGAGAGACAAATCTACTTGCGCCGAGTCTGAAAACAAAACTGTAAATAACAACAAATCGTTTTCACACACAAACGGCGACATTCACACAGAGCTGGAGTTCATCGAGAGAATCGGGTATGTGTGTTAGCAGAGTAAAACTATTGAAAATCAGTTATACAAGAGTATGGCCTCTGCGCAAATTGCATAATGTAATAGGTTTCGAACTCATCTCCGAGGCTTAACGAATAATGTAACTAACTTTTTTCCTTGATTACTTTGAAGCTGAAAAATTGACATTTAAGAAAAACATTATTCTATGAAAATAGTATGAGTTTATTTAAGACAATTAATTATTATATAATAACATATAATAATTATTATATAATAAGTGAGTCGGTGACTCAGTCGGTAGCGTCGCAGACTTGGGCCCAAGGCAGTGATGTCGTGGGTTCGGATCCTGGTCACTGCCGAAAACATTTTATCAGTACAGATCACCTTTGTACTGTACCAGCTCACTCCTTGCTTTACTGTATATGATCCACGCATGGGCGGTTAGTCTATGTCGACAGGCAAATGGAAGGTTAAAAGATGCCGCCAACCTCTAAAAAAAAAACAACAAAAAAACAACACTGCTATTTTGAAATACGTATAATTTATGAAGATTGTACATTCACCATAAAGACTAAAGAGTGATTAGGTACCTACCTCAATCAGGCTACAATTATTGATAAAACAAACCTATTTAAAGTTATTTTTTTTTAGCAGTTTTGTTTCTTGTTTACAAACTGACCATAGTTAAAAATTTAACTGAAGGTAATTAGGTGTTAAATTACAAGTCACATTTTATAAAGTGAAAGCAAATTGGTTTAGCAGAGAGACAAGTTGACACAAACCGCATGGCAGAACGTAGCCTAACTTAATATTTTTGAACTAGGCTAGTAGCAATCGGCCAAGTGCCAGCTTACATGTTACGAGCTGTACATAACACAGTTTACAAAAGAGAGTAAGAAGTATTAAGAGCTGCTGTGTTGTTGGTAAAACATTTTTTTTACTGCTATACTGTACATTGTTGAGCATGTATCTTCACTTGTGCGGCATGTAAATAAATTGCCCGGTTAGTCTGTAGTACATTTTGATTTAAAACGATGCTTGGAAAACCTTAAAGTGATTTTGGTTTGAACATTGTTGTAGGAACATTAAGTGAATTTGTATGAAGGCATTTTTGATAGAAGAAATGTGAAAGATCTAATCATCAAACTCTGACCTTAGTCGCTCATAAATAAACTTGTTTTATATAAGTTTTGATAAGTAATACATTTGTAGACAAGTGAACCGTTTTGTTTTTGGGCAAGGTGTTAAAATAATGGTTAGAGTCATTACTTGAAATATATTGTCTAATAAAGGTATTTTTTTTAAATATAAGTAATATTACATGTAAGTTATTAACCCTATTTAGATTGTTAATACGATTTACTTCTGTTTATAGAAGTATTATCAGTTTTCTATAAAGTAGCTAATTAAACTTATTTATCTATTAAATAACTACAGTAAACTGAAACCGGAGAAAGCATTTTTCCTTCTCCTTTTGTACTGGTTTGAAAAAAAAACTGTTGTTTTCTTTGTATTTTTATTTTATTCTTTAATTACAGCTCAGTCAACGATTTTGACGAAAACGAAGCAGAAAAGGATAAAAGTTCGAAGTCTTACCAAATTAAATCTAATTCAAAATGGAGCAACCACCAAGCAAAGGAAAATGCAGTTAACTGTCAGAGGGAACGAAAAAACAAAGCAAACAAGGAGAATGCAGAACATAACATGACACAGAAAGATGATTATTGTCAAAGGTAAGTGGACCATCCTGTATAATGAAGATTTTGGCTTTTGTTAGTTGTAATGTGTAGCCGGGCAGCTCAGTGGTTATAGTGCTCGACTAGTAATTAATTCGACTTAGGTCGCTGGTTCGTTTTTTTTTCTAAGAAAAGTTTGTAGTGTTTTGATGGTTCAAAACTGGACCGAGCTGTCCTTGATCATTGGACTTTTAATAAATGGCCCTGATTAATAAAACAGCTGGTACCAAATTTCTTCAAAATCAGACCATAGGTGTGGTCTGTTACCCTGTACACATCCACATACACACAGGCACAGACATCACTTCGAAAACCACTTTTTTTGGTCCAGGGGGGCCCAAAACGGATATATCCACTCATAACTCAAACTAGAAAATTTTGACAAAAACTATAATTTCTCCAGGGGGAGAAAGTAAAAAACCCCCGTCACAGCAAGTCTGCATACTAAGCTACTTATATAGATATGTGGGAGACGATAAGAATGCCGCGGTCATGGAAGATAATGATAATGTCGATAGGATCTACTTAAGTGTGTTGTACAATAATCCTCGTCCTCATGATATCATTGACAAAATATTCATTGGATTTTTATGGAAATGGGCTTGAGATATATTTATCTTTAATCATATACAACTAATATACTATTTTTTACAGGCTTGAAGCAGACGTAAAGCGTTTAAAAATAGATCTTCAGGCAAGTCGACAAACAGAGCAAGAACTACGTTGTCAAATTAACTCTCTACTAGTTAGTGAGAAGAGTGCAAAAAGTGAACTTTGCCAACTTCAGCTTGACAATGATGATTTGCAGTCAAAGTGAGTAGTATTTGGAAGTGATGACAACACCACTAGTAACACTTCAAAATTTGAACAATTTGTTCAAAATACTGTTTATTGTTAATGATAATTCCTCTTATGATGTAGGCAAATATTTATATAGCCTACCAATTTAACATTTAATTATGTTTTTATTTTTTTAGTATTTTTAGTTTTAATTTTTTCACTGGTTTTTTTTTTTTTTTTGCTGAAAAAAGGTACTTAAGAGAATGATTAAACCAATACCTGAATGGTTCCTCCTTACATATCTGAATGGGAATCATATATCCTAATAAGGGCTATTTTTGAGTCTCGCAATGAATTTTCTTTGAATCTCTGGTGATGAATTCCAACCTTTATAGCCTGCAATCTTTCTGGGAGAAATTTACAAACAAAAAATATTATGGTGGTTGTATTGAATTGTCTAGTATTTAAACATTAAAACCTACTAAATGGCTAATGCTCATTGACCTACAGGTAGTATATCAGCTAAGTTTTGCCTATAGTATTGCAGGCTGATGAGTTTGGTTTATTTTGACAGAGTTCACGGGCTGCTGTCTGCCAGGCAGATGGACAAGCAGGCAATTACGCAGCTGGAGCGTCGAGTGCAGGACGAGCGCAGACTGAGGTCCTCCACAGAGGCTCAACTGGCTGCTGAGCGCAAGGCTGCACGTGCCATCTCGTCTCCACCCGCTAAGTGAGTATCACCAACAATAGAACAAGCTTTCTAACAGCTTAAGTTTCAAGTAAACTGATTTGTTCATTATCATGAAAATCTAGCCCGATTCCCTATTTTTGTGATGAAAAAAAAAACAAAGCCTGGAAAACAGAAATCATTTGTTCCTTATTTATTGTTGGTGTAGAATTTTGTTAAAATTTGCTATTTTTTGTGATGCAATTATGATTGTCTATTGATAAAATTAGTATGCAATATCTATACCACCGATAATTGAACATTGGCATTGGGATCCAGAATAATTGTCAAAGGCAATGCCCAATACCCAAAGTATCTGCAAAGATAGCAAACTACCGTGATCCTAAGGCCCAATTCACACCGAACGGATGTCTGGCGGAGACGTGGCACGGACGTGGCGAGGACATATGTCCGTTCCTCGCCTCCCCTTGTAAACAAATTGGTCAATGCACACACAAGTGACATGGCGCGGGCGGCCACCCTCCCGCCACCGCCACGTCGCTTCGGCGTCCCTCGTGGCGTATCGGAAGTGGCATGTCCGTAGCGCGCCCGTTGTTCGGACTGCAAATATTGTACTGTACTTACCAACCTTCTTGTGTATAGTGTGCTTGTACATACCAACCTTGTTGTGTAGAGTTGTTTTTGTGTGTAGATTGTGAGTTGTTTCTTCACTATGCGAGACGACATTGAATTTAATATCAAATTTTGTGAGGAAGTAGAACAATTCCCTTGTTTGTACTAATTAAGTTGACAGAAATAAACTAACACTATTGACATTAATAGAAATAAGCAAAAACCAAAGCGTCTAGTCTACATACAGGTTGTCTCGCCACTGTACCGTCCCTTCACCGTCCCTTCGGTGTGCATTGAACACGCCACGTCACTGCCACGTCTGTGCCTCGTCCGTGCCACGTCTTCGTCCGACGTCCGTTCGGTGTGAATTGGGCCTAAAAACCACTTTTTTATGATCGCAAGTGACGACGATAACGTTCCCATGACTACGGGGATAATGATGATGTCTCCACGACTGTGGGAGACGATAAGAATGCCGCGGTCATGGAAGATGGTGATGTTGTCCACCGGATCAATTTAAGAGTGCTGTACAAAATAGTAGACTCCCTCTTATCCGGACTCCTCGGGACCGAGGCAAGTCCGGATAACGGGTTTTCCGGTTAAACCGACGTCCCCAAAATCTCGTTAAAACAGAACGTTTTAATGTATACTCTATACAATATTTGACTTAAATTAGGAGAGCATTGTATTTAGACACGTAATCACTGGTCTCAAATCTTTCCCACGAGAACAGTCGTTTCAGTACCGCCCACTTCCTGTCAATCTAATCCGGTTAAACCGATGTGCTGATAAAAATTATCCAGATAAAGAGATGTCACTTCTACTGAGTGTAGTCCGGTCAAACTGATGTCCGTTTAAAGGTGTCCGGATAAGAGGGAGTCTACTGTAATCTTGTCTTCACGATATCATTGACATAAAATATTCAATGGATTTATATATGGAAATGGGCTTGAGGTAATTAATTGTTGTTGCTTTTGTTTTTATTTTCCTCTAATCATTATATCTAATATTTTAAAAATCTATTTAGTAACTAAAATATAAACAATTTTTATTTGTGACCTAGTCTAGGGGTCTCCAACCTTTTTTACTCAAGGGCCACATTGACAATTTTTGGAGGAAAGGCGGGTCAGACTGTCAACATTTCAGTGTAGAAAGGTAGACCCCTCCAAACTAACAAAGGGGTAATTTTCTAATTAAGTGCTCAGTGATGAAGTTTCAACATTTCTTTCAGATTTTTGTTGCCATATAACTTTTTGACTGTTTGGGAGCGAGCTGGTCTAGTGGTTAGAGCGCGGGACTTTGGTTCCAGAGGTCTCGGGTTCAAATCCCGCCAAATCACCAATGGATTTTATCCATGTGACAATGCCGCAACCCCTAGGTCTAGTTTGAAGTAATGTTGTTCTTCCCTTTGATCTCCAGTCGATAGGCCAAGGGATCTCATACGCAGACCTTGTAGGGAGGCACATAAATATCACGTGGAAGGCTGTCTCCTCCTCCTCCTTTCCACATTTCCTACATAAGAGGCTTTCAACTTGAATTCCTATCTTGTTTAGATGTCCGCGGAATACCCAATGGCCGCTGATAAGGCCAACCACCTTCCGCAGGGTCTTCCTATTCAGCCTAAGGGCATCTACCGCTATCGCACCGGTAGATGTCTGCAGCCTTCTCTTTGACTGTATGTTGCCATTATTATGACCAGGAATTGTCCATCAGGGTTTGAGTTTCCCCCGACAACCGCCCAGTGGTCTGTGTCAATGTCATTCTGCAGCTTGAGGCCTTCTTGGTCATTGCCCCCATTGAGGTGGGCACAAACGCTGATACCTTTACAGCTTTCACAAGATTTCTGGCTGGGGCAAGCTGTAGCGAGATTTCCCCGAAGGGACTCAGCTCCTGTACTTGCTTGACCAGCCACATCTTTGTGGCTAGGTTTGGCCGGAACGGCACAAAAGTTTCTCCCACTCCCTAAACCCCCATTCCTTTCTTGCTGCAACTTTGACGATCATCTATTTATACCAATTGTATACAAATAATTATTTCCCTGAAGGCTGTCGCAGGCCAGATAAAATCTGTTTGCAGACCATAAGTTAAAGACCCTAGACCAAGTCTATAAATATAATTTAGTAGTATACCACTGTAGATATGTTTAGCTAAATAAGTAAACGCAATCTCTTGATGACGGTATAAGAAAATGTTTGCCACATTGCTGTAGCTGTATATGATTTTAAGAATTATGTATTCTGTGAAGCTATATCTTTGTTTCGTTCAGTTTGGTGAAGTGCTTTGTTATTTGCACTCAATTGTTGATGTGTTGAACTTGAGATAGTATCAAAGCCCATCTAACTTGTTGCAAAAAAAGTACAGCATATTAAATAAACAGAATTTTAGTATTAGTAAGTTAAGTAGTATTTGTTATAATACTATAAATTTCATCCACTACAAATATGTGGTAGAACTAATAAGTTTTGTGTCATTGTTGCAGGGGCGAGTGTACAGAGAACTGCCGAGCACGCAAACGAGACTTGGAGGCAGAGGCTAAACAACTCAGGCGAGAACTAAAAGTCAAAGAGGAGCGTTGCTTAGCTGCTGAAAGGGAAGTTCAGGTAATCTTGGTTTTTTGCTGTTTTAATAAAGTTTCTATTGATTTTCAATTTGTCTTCCTCTGTCCCTACACAGGATAATGCCTATTTTTTGTAAATTATCACTTGCATTGCCTCATTTTCAAGTGAACACCAGCTACCATATCCATCATTGTAGCTAATGGTTTGAGAAATATTTTGAATGCCCTTCAAAATTCCATTAATTAGTATGACTACAAAACTAATTAATGAAGATTCCAGTGTCAAAAAACCTACCATGCAGCGGGTCAATCGGACGCTTGCAAACATTGGAAAATGATTTTAAAAAGTCTCGAGGTTTAAAATCAGAATACTTCAATGTTGTTTTGTGTTGGTCTATTTTTTATACAAATGAAATATATAGTTTAATCACTTGTTATGGTTTAAATACACCCCAAGCTATGTCTTACATTAAAGTTTGCTTGGTTCTACTGTAAGCTTGTGCCTAGCAGGGACTCTTTGTTCATTTCAATGTACTTTTTCTGAAGTTCTGAATTGTTTAAACAAAACAATTTATATCTTACTCCTGTGGGTCACTTTATGTTTTAAGTAGTTAAATTTCAAAACATTACAGTTTGAAGTGTCACATGTTGCAGTGTTTGAGGCAGTACAAAGAAAGCCACAATGAGTCAGAGATACTCATGTCCGCTCTGTCTGCTATGCAAGACAAAAACGCACATCTGGAGAACAGTCTCAGCGCAGAGACCCGCATCAAGCTCGACCTCTTCTCTGCTCTCGGAGAGGCCAAGCGCCAGTTAGAAATCAGAGAAAGTGAGTGCAACCATTGTCTTTCTCTATGAACCAGTCGGGGCAAATCACTTTTTTTAACAGAACATATTTGTATGAGCCACTTACAGAGTTTGCTTCAGTCTAATATTATAATTTTGCCCTTAATTCTGGTTACTGCGATGTGATAGTTGATGTTGTAAAAGTTGGCTTCAATAGATTTTTCTTTGAATTTGGTTTGGCTTAGAAGTTATTGTATCAGTAATTTACTTCAGCACTCTCTGTCAGTGGCTATATTTAACTAGATGTTATACAGGGTGATTCAAAAAGGACTTTACAACTTAGAAAATTCATATAAATCTTATTAAACAAGGTATAGAGCTGGTTTTGGTGTTGTTTTAAAGGAAAACACTTTAAGTTTTTTTACCATAAACTAAAGATGTTCTATGTGACTTCCGTTGGATTTGGGGAAAATAATTATTTAGGTATGAAAAAATAGTGAAAACCGTTAAAAATTTGAGAGAAATTTACAAAATTTTGAAAGCTGGGCGTTTTTTGACACAAAGTAAACACATTTGCCATTTGAAGTTCAAACTAAAAAAAAAGAAAGAAAGAGGTTCTGCTTGTTCAGTTTTGTAATTGGATGTAATTGTTGCAGATGTGATACGACAGCAGGAACGTGAGATGGAGGAGTTGAAAGGCAAGATGGCACAGGTTCTTGCAGTAATGCCTACAGAGACATTCGGGCCGGCGCCGAGCTGCAACACCTCTAAATTGCGACTGGCCGACAGTCCTACTCAGTCCACTCTGGATCCCAACGCCACGGCGTACACTCCCAAATCCTCCCACCTTGCGCCAGCCGCTGAGGCTTAACAGGTATGTTGTAAGCCTTATGATCCTCATGCAAAAACTATTGTGCCGACATTTTTAAACACATGAAAATTACAAGGGACAGGTTGGTTTTAAAAGGCTGTTAAAAACTGTAACGAGGGGGGGGGGGTAAGGTTATGTAGATCGGGGTACTAAACCTAACTCGGGGTTATGTACCTAACTGGTACTAAATGTAGGGCTGAAGGTGAAGTTTCGGGTAATTGTGGGGGAATTAGGGAATTATTGAGGGAAAATATGGGTACCAAGAAAGGAGTTGGAAGTTGCTATGTCTAAACCAAATTTAAGCGTGCTGAATCTGCTACCAATAATTATATTAAAAAGGAAGAGTTGCTGTGGAACAAAGGTAGATCTTTTACCCAGACCAGAACACTTTCCTAGCCAGCTTTGATTTATGTTAATTGAACTAACTACCTAAATATTTTTCTTTCCATCACTAAGTACTGAAAATGGTGAATTGGTTGCTAATACTGCTGAGTGAATGAATATTGGTTGGAGATTCAATTGCTGAAAGGAAAATATCTCCAACTTAAACTGAGAAAAGGTGGAGAACAATCTATGGACATGTGACTAAATTTTATGTTAGTAATGATCCCATGTGAGACACGTCGAACCAGTTAAACGTTAATTCCTACATCTCAAATGTCGGGCAAACCCTTCTGAGTTCCCCGCTTGCTTCCTAACTTAGCCAGACATTCTAATTTATCTATTTCTAATTAATCATCTTAAACTATAACTTAGTCGGTATTGGTAGTAACGGAGATGCTGGGTCGGTGTTGTTTTGTCGAGAGCCTTGACGGAAGAGAGCGAGAGTAGGTAAGGAAGGTGGGGGGAGAACATTCTTGCAGTCACAGCAGGTTGCGAGCTTGCCATGCAACCCGAGTTCGCGATTGCTCACACAATATAAAAATATAGCTTGACGCTATGTGTCACAACAAAACCAAAACAGAATTGGTTAAAATGTTGATTTTGGTTTTCGGTTGCTGCGCAACAATCTTGCCACGATCTCGTGGCTTGATTGTAACTTCTTCTTCGCTTCCTAGGAATATACAAGATTTTCCCACGGTCTTAGGCTACGATGATGATGTCTTAGCCAAAAATTCATGCTTTTGCCACACTTACGGGGGTAATAATATATTCAATAAAAAGTTGCAGTGCCTGCAGAGGTTGCAATGCAGTCTGCAGGCACTGTAACCTTTCATTGATTAGCTGAACGTGGTTTGGAAAATAAACTACAGTATGAAGCAATAATATAATTTTTGTGATCACAGAAGACGATAATGATGTCCACATGACTGTCCATATTCATGGTTTCCCCATAATCTCAAAAGATGATGACGATATCTGCAAGACTATAAATATTCATGGTTCCAACGCAATTGCTTATGAGGGTGATGATGTTTAGATGACCGCGGTACATATTCATGATTTTACTGAAATTAGATACGATGATAATTTCTTCACAATCATGGGGGATGTTAAAGATTTTGGCTGCTATTATGGGATATGATGTTAATATCTTTATGTTTGTGGTGGATGTTCAAGATTTGGCTGCAATTTGGCGGGATCATATGAGAATTTTGAAATTTTGCAGCGATTGCGGGCGATGATGATGATGACATACTGTAGCAGATGTTTTAAGAATTAGCTGTGACCCCAGGAGACAAAGTTGATGTCTTTGCAATTGTGGGGGGTGTACTTTATATGATTTTTATATAAGGAAAAAAATTTAGATGTTTATATTGTTGGGATAGTAATTTAACTCAAATTTCTTTCAAACATGTTTCACTTTAAGCAGTAAAACCCACGAAAAAAAGGTCCTTACAGTGTCAATACTGTATATAATTTTTTGAATATTCCATGAGGTTAACATCCTCGAAAGATATTACCCAAAACTTTCATCCTTTCCGTAGGAATTAATAATTTTCCATTAGCTCATCCTGATTTAATATTACTACTCCCGTCCATCCCTAAATTAAAATCTCAAAGGAACTCCCAACTTACTGCAATAGTGGAAAGTATATAATGATGTATTTATAACAACGTATTCAATTTTTTACAGGTTGTGGCCGATCGCCTATTTCAAACTAGCCAATGTTTTGTTGTGAATTGTTGGCACTAACTGTGGATGTTTGGTGTGCTCTGCCAATAGACACTTCGATTCATATTTATTTATTTATTTAAATTTCGATTAATTCATTGTCATTCTGAACGACTTGAGTGCGGTGATTTAGCATTCTACTTGATCTTGATTGTGGCTGCAATACGGCATTGCTCGAAAAGCCTCGAACCCAGTTAGTTAGTCGACTTAGATATTTGTTGTAGTGAATTCACAATTCAGCGACTTAAAAACTCGGGTTAATTTTATAGCGTACGTACCTTTATTAGTTGTAAATCTTAGAATCGTCTGAGATTGAAAAGGCTGATGATATATTTTAATGAATGTGATATTTCTTTTATTTTATACTAATAAGTAGTTGTTTTTATGTAATTTAGTTTAAAACATCTCGATATTGGATCCGATCTGTACCATTAAGTGGTTCAGTTGTAAGCCATCGATCTAGACTAAAACTGATGGCATAAAAAATTGCTTTATGGTGATTAGATATAATTTTAAATAGCTTTATTTTAAGGTGTTTCTGTATTTCATCTACAATAAATGGTGTTCTGTGGGTTCCTCATATGATAGACGTTAGCACCTCTTTCTGTTCCCATCTTTTTAAATGTTATTTCTAATTACAAAAAAAATTACCTCAAACTTAAAAACTTAATTTTATCCTCAACAAAGTAAAAACACAATATTATTTTAATAAAATTTAACTGAATCATAAAGTTGTGTTTTTGTTACCTTTCCTTCTATTAAAATGTAAAACTAAAAAAAAATTTTTTGTGGAAAAGTTAACAACAGAATTAATAATTTTCCCCTTAAAAATATATTTTTGTGTATTGATTATGTTGTTAACACTTCATAACTTGATAATCCATTTTAAACCAACTCAAAATTATTCTATAACTCCCATACAAAGAATTAATTAAACATCACATCTTGATAAGTTTTATCGTGTTAATTTTATATGAGACACACCCTGGAGAACAGCTAACATATTAATTTGGTTTAAAATAGGTTAGTTTATCAATTCAAATACATTTTAATTATGGTTAAAATCGCCAACTTAAAAGTGAACCATTATACAAACTAGCTTAAACAATATCTCAAGTTTTAACATATACTTTTCTCTAAAAGTAAACTTAAAAAACTATTGACATGTTTGTAAATATGAAAGTAGTTGTTGGTATAAATTTGGTAATCAAAATTAGGCTAATCTAATCATAGTTTTGGAATAAACAAATTAAAAACACTTCTAGATGAGCTAAGATTGTTTTAGGTCTGTGGTTTTGATTTAGGAGGTAGGTAATTTGTATTTTACCCAACAAAATAGTGGACAAAATACATTTTATTGCTTTTGAATTATAAACATACTGTACAGATACCGTACATAGTTTACACTTAATTTACATTTATTTATCATTAAAAATTTATTTTAAACATCTGTTTTACAATTTCCAAATCTATAAGATATCTCACTAATTGATGGGTAACACATACTATTGTAAAAAGTAAATAATTGTATCTGGAATACTACTAAGATTCATTCTGGACATGAGAAAGAAAACTAATGTGATCATCTACCATTTTGAGTTGATGTACCGGACGGCATCTGTTTTATTCTGATTGTAAGTTTTAGCTTTATTTACCATCCCTGTGAAAATGGATTATGTAATTGTATTTTGCTTTTCATCTTTTTGACTCAACAACATCTTAAAAGCTTGTTTTGTCATAACATTGAAGTGTGTTTTAGATGCACTTCAGTTGTTTCTCCTGAGGTAAAAAGAAACTGTTAAAATAATTATTTAGTGTCAATTATATATTTTAGAATTCTTTACTTTTGGCATTGATAAATATGTTTATTTTGGTTGACTGCTTTACGTTCCTGACTAAAATGCAATCAAAACCATTACTTTAGAATTGTATTCTGTTTGGTGAATATTGTATGATTGTATAGTTGGTGAAGGTTGAGAAACTCTTTAAATACTGTGCACAAAGAATATTCATTTCTGTGCAGACTTGTCACTTGTTTTAAAACTCAGACATATTACTCCTTAAACCAACAATTTTCAGGTTTATTTTAGTGGTAACTGACTTAAATTGAATAAGCAAAGACTGTCTGATCCAAATGGCAAAATTAGCAGACAGTTATTGAGTTTTGTGTCATACTGCAGCAAAAAAAAAAAAAAAAAAAAAACATTAGTAAAACTATGAGTACCATAGCAAAAATAGAAGGTTTAAATTTTAGGTTCATAAATTCTTGGTAGTTTTATGTTAAAAAAGAACCAAGAAACTAAATGATTTATCATTCCATGTTTTTGATTGGTTAAACTTTTTTATAAATACAAAATGATTTAAGTCAGTCATTACTCTCACATAAATGCTCACTTTACTTCCCAATTTTAAAAATTTAGTTCTATACAGTAAAACCCTGTTTAATCAAAATAAAGGGGGCCAGGCCGTTTTGGTTAATCAATTGTCGGTCATGTAAATGTTATTTCATTACAAAGAAATCTAAATAGTTTATGTTTTTAACGATATTTTAATGACATATTGCCATCTTAACAACAACTGTACAACTGTACACACAAATTTATTTCTTAAAATAGTTGACAATTTTTTCTGAACTTTATCTTTACGACGGTTTTGGGCAGTTTTGTCTCTAGATCTCTTGGTTAGCAGAATGTCAGGAGGCTTTGATTAGAGTCATTCGTTGATATTGTACAAATTGTAAAACTAAAAAAGGGATATACTGTTTATATTTTTAGTTTTACAAATTGTACAAATTTAATTGTAACAATAAGGACTGTTTCTGCCCTGTCGCCCTTGTTACAAAAGTGTTATACGTTATGGGCAGAAACTGTTTTATATTTAACTCACTTTTCACAAGACAAAACGAGCAGTTTCAAGCGTTTGCAGTACACAATCTAATACTGGCCATGGCCACGTTAATGAATGTGGAAAGTTTAAGTGGAGTGAGCAGGCGGGGAGGGATTGGTCAGTCTTAATGGTTGGACTTTCTTAGAAGGTCAGTGGCCGCCACGGCAGTGACTATCATACCGATGTCGGGCCCGCTACCCACGCCACGGCCGTCATCTCCGTTGCTCATCTTATTTTCTAATTCATTTATTAATGAATTCTGTTTCAGTTGACCCAGGTTTGGATTAAACAGGGTTCGGATAAACAGAGTTTTACTGTATATGTTTATGTAGGGTTACAATCTAATTGTGTTTTAAAATCAAAGATAACATTGGTGACCCTTTATGCCATTCTATTTGTTTGGTTTGTAATACTTGGTTATACTAGCTGATAATGGTTATACCTTTAATTTAATATACTGTAAATGGAGACTGTAGTTATTGTCAACTAATTGAAAAATTATCTGGAATATTGTAACTGCTACCTAGTATTAATAGCTTTTTGTGTATTAAAAGCACAAAGTATGTCATTGCTGCTCGATAACTGTAGAGGCTTTAGCTGAGAGCGGCAATACATTTTGAGAGTGGCAATGCCTGTTTGTGCTCGTAATACAAGATTTTTCCTACCACCGTAATTAACTTGTACTAACATACAGATTAACTTTTTAGTTGTATATTACATGTCATTCAGGCTTTTTGCTTTTTTAGGTCATTAATTTTATTTGCTTTCAGGTTGTTAACGTTTTATAGAAACGCCAACTGTAAAATCGCTGATTTAGCGAGGGGCAATAGTCATACCCGCTCTAGAGCGGAAATGAGCGTTTTTGCGTACTGTACTGTGGCATTGTGAAAATTTCTATGCAGTGGTAGGAAAAGTACTTTTCTTTACTGCTAACTCTACTCCATGTTCACCTTCTATTTCATGTATCTTCAGAGATGATCTGTTTACTGTATACGCCAAAAATAAGTAGATCCAAATAAATTTTAACAATTTTTTTATGTTTTGAGAAGATGAGATACAGTACAGATGGTAAATAACAAAAAATGAATGCATGACCATGGAGAAAAGCATGGTTTGTTTTATTTAGATAAAAAACCTGTTTCAAACATTTATTAGTATTTGAACACTTGTGTCTATGGTACACCAATTAAATTGAGATTACCCATCAAAAGTGATGTTTTTACACAATTTTAGTGAAATAGTGAAATATTTCGCTTGTACAAAACAAACAGTTTCACTAGAAAAACCTGTATTTTAAAGTGGAGTTTAGGACAATGAATGATAAGATTTTTGTTACGGAAGTGGAATTTTCATTTTGTAAGTTTCTTGGAGGCAAAGAGTCTTTCAAATTTGTATGTAGAGTTACTCCTACGTATTGTACTACAAGTTCTTTCTGAACCCTTAGGTACAATCTGTGTTTCCCCAAATTGTAACCTAACCACCTCATGGGCTGTGGTATTGTAAAGGTTAATGTGATGATTTTATTTTCAGTGTAAACTTCCCCTTCTCCCATCTTATAGTGTAACGCAGACCATGACATGTAAAGTCATAACTGAAATCGCCAATATCGGTAATGAAATTTGTAGTTAGAAAGTTAGTACAAATATGATATTGGCTAAGTAAATGTTGTAGTAGTAGTTGGGCTGAGCTGCCGTCTTGTAGCCAATCTTTGTACTTAATAAGTGTATCTCTTACAGTCTATTGTTAAAGCAATAGTTTATGTCATTTCGCGTTTTTTTTTTTTTGCAATAAAGTGACAAATTTTGTTGTCCATTAAAGTGATTTGTGCAATGTCTTTGGTGGTTTGATTTGTACTTTTACCTGTTTCTATCACAATCAGTTGTTGGCTTTAGTTAACACGTTCGCTACTGCAATAGTACGAAATTTTCCATTCACATGGACCAGCGACGCACATATGCGACGGCCGGTTTCCACCCATAGACTGCCGTCGCATATATGCGACGGCTAGTCACATTAAAATAGACTGCCGACGCATATTTGCGTCGGGGTTCTAATGTTATTAAAATGCGTATATCTTTGTAGTGGTCTATTTGAACGCACTGAATTCCCTGCAGTGGTCTACAGAGATGTCTGACGCACAACTGCGTCGCTTGGTCTGTGGATATGATGATTGGTGACGTCATATAATAGTTGGAAAAACTGGTCTTTACTTTTCTGCATCACTGTATGTATATATGCAGTATGTATGCTGCATTATCCTATGTAGCTTTTATATTTGTTCAGTTATAAACTGTTCTTGAATAATCTGTTTATTTTTTTTACTTACTTTCACCTTAAAACACAAAAAAATGAACTGTCGCATATATGCGACGTTTAGTCTATTTAAAGAAAACTATGATAATTTTCACTATTGTCTTCGCTGTAGACCGGGCGTCGCAAATATGCGACATTACAAAAGGTTATAAAAAATACAAAAAAACAAGAATAATTTATTTATAAACACGATTGTAGCGTATTACAATGTAAATGATCACTGTTTTACAGGTTTTCGCCCGTAGTCTATGTGTACTGTTATCCAAGTGACAGCCGGTCTATGTGTAAGATTCAAATGTATACCTCACCGCGGCGTTGCATATATGCGACGCTCAGTAGCGAACGTGTTAAAGAGTTAAGATTTGGTTGAAAAATTATCTGACCATAAATATCAGCCAATCATCAGGCTCATGTATACAATATACCTATTTTGAAAAAATAATTAAAAGAAGATTTTGTTCTCAGAATTAGATGTAATTCAGTATTGATAAATTTCTTATTTTTGATTTATAGATGGTACATCAAAAATTACGATTGGTGTTTTTCATATTTTTTAAATACAATCGGCAAATAAAAAAATAAGCTGCTTTTTGATTTTAGTTCCTAATCCGAGACTTTGATAGTTTATTGATTTATTATTTTAATCTATTGAGAGTTTAAAAACCTTATTGCTTTTGTTGCATCAAAATTATTTGGTACTTCATTTGATTTTATTTGAAAATATTGAAAGATGATGAGTGTTAAACAGTTATGCTACAAAAAGCGAACGTTGACAACATTTATCAATCCCGATCCTGAGCACAATGAATTGTTTAAATCTTTGAAAATAATTTTTGCTATGAATATTTTATTTTGGAAATACAGTACTAATAGTTTAATTTACTTAAACTGCTGATAGGAACTCAAACTTTATTCCTCCCTCACACATCACACATAAAAAATCAAAATCAAATGCCAATATATTTGAAAACCCTTTTAGAAGTAATTTAATCAACTCTTATCTGAGGCCTTGACCTCTTGGACACTTCAGACTTGAGAGGAGGGAGTGTGTTATTTTCCTATCAAAAAACAAACTCTGCATATCTTATATAGTTGTCTGGAATTTGATGGCACTACGCCAAGATTCAGAGGTAAATTAACTTGCTTCTGTTTACCAATGGCGTCCTTGGAGACTGGTTTCTGATGAAACAAATTTGTAAACAACAGTTGATTTCAAATGGAGCTAAAGGTAAGTTCACCAAATCTCGGTATAACAGTTATAAGAGAGAATAGCTAGAGCCAAACGGAAGTTTCCCAACTGCAAATTGATAAATTTAATTGGCAAACTTAATGAAAACAAAAAGTTTTGCATTCTTGTAAATCATGGTAATTTCATCATGGCAATCGTCAACAATTAGTCGGGTTATAAACAGACAGTGACAAGGCGATATTTATAGCTCAGAGCCCCACTGGGGTTATACGTCACTTCCGTAGGGTTGAGGAGTGTGTTTTGCACGTTTTGTGTCCTTGTGTTTGATGGCTACAAATCTAATAAAGCAATGCATTATCTTTCTTAAATTTAGTTTTTTCTTGGATACATAGGGTGTAGCTTTGAAAAATCCACTACATTATTAAACTAAAATTATATTTATATAAATACCCTTGCCTCAGCAAACCTGCCGACTAAGCGAGTTCCCATTTCTCTGAATGATTTTCAATTTAATCTTTTAAATGAAATTAGATTTAACGAGTACCCAGGATTGCTGCTACAGTAAAATATCAATAGCTTAGTATAAAATAGATTTGCCAAGTTTTATCAAAATATATCCATTAACAAGTAAACTACAATATTTCAATATTCTCCATATGAATAACATGGAGGTTTTAAATTTACAATTTTTCCCGTAACCAATAACCATACAAAAATACTTTACCGTACTCAATTATTTGGGTTTTTTATGCTCTTCAAAATGATCTAGAGAGAAATCATGACATTCTATGTTTTTATGGTCAAAAACGAGAAAACCCAATTCTACCCCATAAATTTCCCCGTAAAGCCCTGTTTCCATGATCATGCTGGTTTGCGAACTCGTTTGAATAAACGTAGGTTTACACGTTTGTACCAGATTTCATTGAAATCGGATCATTTTTGCTTGAGTTATCGTTTTGGCCTCTAGGGATATCAAAATGAAAAACATAAATCGGTCCCGGGTCCAAGTCTTTTACCATGAGACATATGGTAATAGCTTATTGTATGGGAAATTCGCTAAAACCATAAGATGGATGTCTCTAAATTATACACATACTTGAGACATATTCTTGTGTTACACTAAAGTGATGGTGGACCTTATGTATAACTTATATTTACTGTAATACGCCAACTTCAAAGCTAACCTCAAATTTTGTTCTCATGTTATTAATGCAGGGCACTTGGCAATGTTTAAACCTATAAAATATACATGGATTATGTATCTTTATTCAGTACTATGTAAATATTTTGCCTCAACTTGGGCACGAATATGAGTATTATTCATTAAGAATTATACCTAGATGTAAATACTTACTATTTTTTTAAACAAGAGCCTACAACTCAGATAAATTCCAATATATTTACAGGTATTCCCAAGTTTTTAGATTTGATGGGGAGGGGCTGATTTATGCTCTAGACATGCTATAGTTTGCATACCTCACATGTTACTAATGTGACAACCCGTACATATCTAGGAGATTTTGTAGTGTCTGATTCATTGCTTGGTTTTCACACAAAGTCTCTTGCAATCCAGAACATTGTGCTTTGCAGGCTTATGAACTAGATGCGGAGCTTTTTATGGGCGATTCCTAGAGTGTGAAAAATTTTCTGACATGACTGTGTAATAACAGCAATTAAGTACTTGATCTTTCTTTAACCAAACTGTTTTTCCTGAACTATGTATAAGTTCTACCAAATGATTGATTGTACCAACGTCAGAAGTGTTGCTCCATAGTCCATTTGATGGCTGCTTTGCCACAGGCCTGTGTACTAGTACTGTTTTAAGCTAACTCAGTCATTGCCACATATACTAACCAAACCGAGAGTTGTGTATTGGGGGTGATGTTGAATTGTGCATGTTGTTCCCATAATTCAGGGATTACCCGAACTAATTGCTCGTGCTGTGCATGTGGCTCGAGGGTAGTCTACAAACTGTGCATACAAGTTTTCGGCTAAATTGCTGGTAAACTGTTTTCAAGTATTAAGCTACTGTTAGGAGCAAGTGCAACAGCGTGTTCAGTACGGTTATTTATGAGCAACAGTCTTGTTTTCCATACATTTGAGTGTAATGTGAACGTTGCCATCATTGATGTTCTTTGGAAGAAGGCTTCTCTTGGTGCTGTTTAGGTTCCTTCAAAAACTACTAGCTGTTACAACGTTGACTCAACATAGAATCGACTTATTGTCAGTTAGAGTACTTGTTGCCAGCAACTGTCAAACCTAACTGAGTACTGAGTGGTTATGTAAATGGGAAATCGAAAAATGAGAGGTACGTTACTACGTCGTACTATATTTAGTGGTAATATATGTACCCTTTCAGTAAACTAAAAAATGTATCTTTTTGATACATACTGCTATATAACATACATCGTGTAAAAGTCCTGGGGCGGCTTAATATTTTTTAACAAATATAGATACGGTGGTTCAGTTTTGTATCTAGAAATTTATCATAAAAACCCACCTTTTTAAGTAATTATCAATTTTCCTCTCCTCCTAGGGACGGTCCACAAGGAGTAAAAAGATCATCTTTAATGTAAACATAGATTGAGTTTTTCCATTGTGATGGGAAATATCGGCAATAAACTACCTACAATACTCACTGTCACCAACAATGAGGTCCAAACAACGAATATTTTCAATTGTTAAAAATCGTTGAAACCGTTTCTTTTAGCAGTTTTTTATCGTTGTCTGCGCAAACATTACTCGTATCAAAATAAGGATATAGGATATAGGGATAGAGATTTGTTGTAACGCAGGCCATTAAATAAGTAAAATCTTTGTGGTCCTTGCCATTTACAACGTGAAACTGTCTTCCTTGGAGGTATACTATTTCTATAACCTAACCTAACCCATATAATTTTCATTCCCAACCGTATACACTAGCACTTTATTCAGGGTTGTGGAGACAAAGTCATTTATTGATCCAGATTTTTTAAATCATGTTCACATTGGCAAAATCTAGGCAAAAGAATTTGTTCTTTTACCTTGTCCGTGTATTGGTAGAAGGTGATAGCTCTTTCAAGTTATTTTAAGAGGGCTTTGAGAGCTGTAAAAAATCATTATTCTTGTCTTTGTGCCATTCAACAATTCCTTGGTTGATATAAGCTGGATGGTTACTGGGCCGAAGTATTAAGACACGTTACAAAAAGGCGTATAACTCGAAAACCTGTATAGATTAAACATTGCAACAAGTGCAAATTTTACTCCTAAAATGTGATCTTTTAAAGCGATCATGATTTTTAAATTCTTATCCTCGTTGATTTTTTAGCTATAACATAATATTTTCTGTTCATCCTATGTGTGTATTTGTGTTGTATATTGGGTGAACAACTTAACTGTGTCCCCATTGGATCCTCAGAAACTATTGGAGTTAGAGAAAACATAAATGATAAACTTGAACTATTTTCCCATGACATAAAAAATGAGCATTCTACTTTTTTTCAAAAATGGCCACCATTTTCTTATTTGGTGGCTAGGTTTAATATTTCTTATGTTACATCTTGTATTTCGATAATACTTTATTTTGGAATGTAAATTCAAATTTAAGAAAATTTTTATGAAAGTTGAAAGTTGTCTCTAAAGCTACTTGTTTAGTAGCCACAGCGTATTCAATTTAGGAAAAGAAAGGTTTTCTTCTATGTATTTTTCTGCACACCAAGAAAGGACCCTCGCCTCTCATTCACCTCTGTCTGATTCACCTATGACGAGATAAGGGTTGTATGAAGAGTTGCGAAGTAGTGCGAAGTAACCAAGCGATAAACTGTGTTACGGAGTGTCATCTATACTTATATAATACGTAAGCAGGTTTTTTTCTGACAATTACTTCTCCAAAACTACAGAACCGATTGGCATGTTTTTGGTGTCATTGAAAAGAGTGTAACGTGAAATTGTGCAGGAAACTGTCTTTTTCGAAATAATTAGAGAGTGAGGCTCTGGGAACTTTTAAAGTTTCGTACTTCTCCATAAGATTAACATTGGAAACAAACATTGTTATGAAACTTCAGCTGTTGTCAGAAATTAAATTGAGAATAAGAACATATGTTAATTGTAAACAGTCAATAAATTTGCTAATTTAAGCCGGGTTTACACTATGTAGCAAAACCTGCTATATAGCAGATTTGTGTAACATCTAGCAATGTTATATAACATTTGCTAGAAGTAGAAAAAGTCACTTTTCAAAAGTGCTATATAACACTGCTATATGTAGCAGATTCTGCTATATATAGCAAAAATTGTGCTATCCATCGGGAGTCGGTAAAGATCAAAAGAAATGCGTGCTATATCTAACATTGCTATATGTAGCAATGTTATACAAATATTTTTCGTCTAGCATCTGCTATATGTAGCATTTAGTGTCAACAGTTCACAAAAGTTCACAGTTGTAGCCTCCTGTGTACGGACGTTTTTGCTCGGGGATCTTTGTTTACAATGGAAGGTCTGTAAAGCGACAGTGCGTGGGATCGGGATGCTATTATAAACTTTAATTGAACTGTTCCGTGGACAACCGGCGTTGTGGTCATACGTAAAACGTTTTTGAATCTACCATCGCTTTATTTCGCGTTTTAATTATGGATCGCTTCCGCTTCTGACTTCCGATCACCGTGATAGCTGCCTCGAACAATGTCTCTTCGGCTTCAACAATTTGCTACAACCATTTTACTGACTTGGTTTAAATGAAATATTTACTATTTGAATTTTGGTTAGCGTAAATATTACAATGGAAAAAAGCGAGAGAGCCTGGATAACTTGATATACAATAAAGAAACCTGAATTAACACTGTGCTGCATTTCTTAGTAATCATTGAAAGAGCCAATTTGCAAACTACGGAAACATAGGAAAGTCATAGACCACCACCAAGGAGTAGAAATAGAAATAATGTTTTTTTTAGAATTTATAATCGTTATTATGGACAACCTAATGTGGCTATGGATAAGGCTGTTTGTAGAAAACACTAAAAAACAGGATCAGCTTTTGAAAAATGATTATATATTTACAAGAA